TTGTTTATATTGTCTTAATGTAGTTCTTTACATCGTTGTCTAAAACTTGGGGCAAATACCCAAGTATTTAGGGCATTTATAAAATTGAGCAATATTAATTGATGTTTAACTCTTAATATGTTATTATTATAATTATATGATATACTAAGTATAGTCTATTAATTTAACAAGTTATTTGCCATTTTGCAAAGTTCATAAATAATCAGGATTTTATATGTCTGAAGCCTGTGTTTATAGAAGAAAATAGGTAAATAAGAGTAATTCTACATAGTTTGCAGTTATATATTTATATTTAATGTATATTTGATATTACACTAACTTATAAAAAATAAGGTAATGGAACGAATAAAGATAAACCTTAAATTGTGAATTCATTCAATCTTCTGGCACTTTGTTTGGTTTTAATTTTAAAGCTTGTGTTTTATTTTAACACTAAACAGAGATCTTCAACAAACATTCTTTATAATTATTATAGAATCTTACCATCCTTATTTTTTTAATTTCCTTGGATAAATCTACACATTACACTTGGTCAATCCCCCTCTCCTTTATTAATAACTATTACTTTTATAAACTCTCTTTTAAATGTTGATTAAGGTGAATTCTTTTAACACAGAGAAAAGCAGAAACTCTTATAAATACCCCAGGACCTGGGTGTATAGTGGTGTCTAGCAACTATGCCCCGAAGTAAAATACTAGTTGAACACATGTTATCATCACTATACTATCCTTACAGAATAGTAATTTCAAAGAACAACTCTAATCTTCTCTAAAGTGAATAACAATTATAAATACCTAGTTATAACCTGGGTAGATACCCAATTTCTAAATACCTACCCACTGGGTATTTACCCGACTCACATCACTACTGATTGTTCAATCGATATTGTTTTAGCTTTATGCTAAGAGCTGTAAAATTTTACTTAGATTAAAAAAAAAAGTCTTAAGATGATCGATACAATGGTGTTAAGTAACATCCAAAATATTCTTACAGAATATTTGTTAAGAAAATCTTATTCATAAGAAGAGTAGGCTATATTTGGTTTAATAATCAATTCATTTAGTTGTCCGTATATAAAGCAACTTAGGGAAATAATAGTTTGTGTGCTACTAATTATTGCCGCTCAGAAACTTAAAAAATCTAAAGAATAAATTAGGTATAAAACCTCCTACAGCTTAACTCGTCAATGAAATTGTGTACCTACCAACAATGTGTTGATCTCGTTTGAAGATTTCGTCGTTGAGCTGCAACTCACTGGAATTTGTAGGAGAAAGTTGTTAGAAACTACAAATATCCCAAAAACGTAAATTTTGAGAGAATAAAAACACGATTTGTATTTCAAAGTAATATCAATACAGTAAGCTACTATGCTTATTTAACTTTTGGATCTTTAGCGCCATATGAAAGTATGTAACTTAAATGTAGTTTTAAGATTTCAATTTGTAAACAAAGGTCCATTCTGATGAGGTAGTCGAGTTGAAATTGGCAACTTGGTTGCAATTTCTTTGTTTACTTTTATGCTACTAATGTAACATGGTTTTAAGTTTTAACCACTTTAGTCAATATCTCAAACCTTTTTAGAGTTTGATTAAAATTAGCTGTTTTTCATTTGGAAACCTCCTACTTTTGATATTACTTACTCTTACTAAAGTTAAATTAGTATTCTGATTCATACAGAAGATGAAATACTCATCATCACCTTCACCTGCATATTCTTGTTAATGCAGTCCCTTGTTATTACTGAACAAGGAACTGAAAAATAAATTAAAGAATTAAAGTCAGAACTAGGAATAAATCTCCCTACCTCTTTTCCAAACCCCTAAACAAAAATAGGGAGTTTATATAAATAAGATTGGATTTATACTACCCTAAAACAACACAGTGCGTATTTTTTAGGTGACAATGAATGAACTCACATTATCCTGTATGATGTAATCATGTCATATAATGTTTCTACGGACTATGATCGTCTGATTATTTTGCCGGAACGATTAATTAAAAGCTAGCTGATCAAGAACAGCTGGGTCAAGTTTCGAACCATAAAAACCTCTGACTTTTGTCAGGATCGAACCAGTGACCTTCATTACGGAGTATCCACTCAGCTACCCATAAAGTACAAAGCTAATCAACTTGGTTACTTATATACCTAGATACCTATATCGTTAAATTTACGCTCAAAGTAGAGGAAGTTAGAAACATTGGTGGTACATTTACAGTTTATTCATTAGATGTGGAGATACAGCCAAAATGTACACATTTTTTTCGATACTGACTGGGTTTAGTTTTACATTATTGATTACGTGCAATTTAAACATGTTGGTATTTGCTGAAGCTACATGCCTCAGTAGAGTTTGGAGGTGAATCTGTAGCAAGCGGTGATCGGTGTGCGCGTGTATGTGTGTGTATCGATGATGGTGACTGTGGTGGGTTAGTGGGGTGGTTTCAAGTTGACAACTGACGCAGTTTCGCAGACGCAAAGCAACCTTCCACCCCCAGTCTACCCCCAGTCCATCCCACCCTCCAGCTATCGCGGAGTCTGTGTCAGTGCCAAACATAGCAAGGGGTGGGATGTGTCGTGCAGTCAGGGGACACTCGCACTGAGTAAAAGAATCGGAGTACCTGAAAACTGTGCACAATTGATTGTAATAATAGTAGCTAATGCTCCCTTGATTGTATAAACTAATGCAAACAAGACGTTGTAAAAGCAAATTTTAGTTAGCATATGAAAATATGTAGGCTAAACATAGAGGAATGTGTAAAATATCCTATAACATTGGATAACTATTTGTCATAACCATCGAAACAGCTGGTCTTAATAGAAAATATACACTAGACTAGACATCTCACTCAATTCTAAACTCATCATTCAATCTTACAGTGGAACCTTGATAAGAAGACCCTCGATAATAAGTCGCCCTTGATAACAAGTGTCATTTTCAAATCCCCTTAACATTATTTTACCTCTAATCACATGTTATTACAAACCTCGATAAGAAGTCAATCTTGATAACGAGTCTTTTTTTACGATTACCTCCCGCTATCTCCGCGTCCCGCCACCTCCGAATTTCAGAGTGGCCCCTATAATCCTCGGTTAATACCTGCGTTAAGACTTTCCGTCCTAACCTAACCTAACCTAACCCAACCTAACCTAACCTAACCTAACCTAACCTAACCCAACCTAACCTAACCTAACCTAACCCATGGGTTAAATTTTCATTAAATCTCCCATCCACGGGGCTTCGCAGCCGTGGATGCAATGACAGCTACCAACGCAGACAGTGACGGTATTATAAGGGTCACTCAAGAATTCGGAGGTGGCGGGACAGATTTGGGTTCGGAGGTGGCGGAACGCGGAGATAGCGGGAGCACACGTATTTTACAATCCCCATGAGAGTCTTGTTATCAAGGTTCTACTGTATTTTGGTTAAATACGCGCAGTCAAAAGTTAGTAAGAAATTAGTTGCACATTAAAGTATGAAACACCATCACAACCAGTGTTTTATTATACGCAAAATACAATCATAATCAGTATTTGGGCTAAACACAATCTTAACCACTACCCAGTATAGATACATCGTGGGACTACTGTTGCTAACTTTTTGAAGTGGAATTTACCGGCCTAGTTTTTGCGTACAATTGTACAGCATGAAATACATAATTCTCTTTATTTTAAATTACTAAAGATCACAAAGTTAATATTTAATTAGATGATGAGAATCCACCCAAAGCACACTTTCATTTTTCTTAAATCGTTTTTAGAAGCTACCAAACTCTCTTTCATAAACATTGTACTTTACTAACAAAGATCTTTAATTTGATGTGCATATAAATCTATGCCTACATTTAAGATTTTCTTCTGACTCCTAGCGAGCCGTACCCCTGAAGAGGTAGCACATATTTGAATAATGCGTTAAAATGACTTCAATATCCAGTAACTGTGTATCATTATCTTTATTACTTCTTGGAACATTTAACCGTCCCGGGCCTTTTTTTACCCTGTATACAAGGTGAATCTCATAAGGTGTCCACTATTGATTCCAAACAAACCATTGGTCTTACAATGATGAATTGAAGGTTTTCTCTCTAAACCAACCCCAAGGAATAACGTAAGAATATTAAATTTTTTAAATACAAGACGCTCCTATAAACGTACCATAGGTTCAGTAGTTTGAATCTCACATTTGTGAAATACAAACACATGCCATATCATACGTAATTTTAATTTAATACAATTTTTTTTAAGAATAAGAATTTGACTATTTTAATTTGTTTCAAAATGGCGGCTCTTTTGTGGAAAATCTTGTTCTTGTACTATTTTGAATACCGTGTATTTTTTAATACCGATATATCTACTCTGATAATTGTATATGCATCAACATGCAATATTACAATATAAAAAAAGGTAAAAAAACATTTTTTTTTAAGTTACTTATGAAAATAGCTGCAAATATTTACGTGGCGAACACTTTAAAATTTCAAAGAGTATCATACGTAAAATTGTATATCATTTTGAAGGTGTAATACCATTCCAAGCAACTTCCAAACCTAAACTGTATTGTATCCCTTATAGTTTTGTAGTCACAATCCAAACACTTGTTTAACTCACACAAAGATTATGGTAATTGTTTAGACATCGGCTACACATAATACAGTATATAACCTATTCTGAAGTAAAAAGCTATTCAAATTATTAAGTTAAATGTGGAAAGAAATTAGTGTACAATACACATTCTATGTGTTAAATATGTTCCACAGTATATAAAAAAATAATTGAATTGTACAGTTTTAATTTTGGATTTCATGTCACAGAATTCAACTTCAATATTCATTTTCCCCGTCAACTTGTGCTTTCTCTATAGTCTATAATATGTATATCTGTATTGGTCGGTATTGTTATAAATCTACAAAAGACAAATCTTTGTTATTTTTGCTGTACATAAAAGATGCATTCTACATTATGTGTTGCTATTGTTAACTGAAGTCTGTTTTTTGTTGACAGAGGGATAGAAAAGAAAGAAAGCTTTATACTGATGACTGGGCTATTGGTGATGAAGATATTGAGGGGAGGAGATCTTTCAGCCTACAAGAAAAGCTTGAATCCAACAAATTCCCTCAATGTTTTGCAAAAGAAATGCAAGGAAGTGGTGAGGACATAATTTATGTTATGGTTTTATTATATTTCATAAAGTAATCTTTTGAATTTTGCTCAAAATTAAAAAAAATTCATTTATATTTTATTTATCTGTAGTTAGTGTTAACAGATGAATTCATAATAATTTAACTCATTCATATTCAGTGTTATAAAGTAATTGCTGGTCAAAAATATTATTTCCCAGTTCTATGTATACATTAGTGAATTGCGATATGTGAAGTGCAACTACCAGTACTATCATACCCCATCAGGTCTTTGCCCACGACAATTTAAATTAAAACCCTTTAGGTTTTAGCTGATGGAATAGAATTTTAAAAATTACTGATTTAATCTAAAAATAAAATGTGTTTTTATTAAATCCATCCATATGTAATCACCACAGTTGAGCATAATGTGACTACTGCACTGAAGTTATAACAAGGGTGAGATTCTACATACAGTATACAACTTTATCAGTCTTACCACTAAGATCTAGAATTGATACACACTCTGTAACAACCCATATAAACTATTTCTGCTGTATTTTCTTTAATTTTCGATTAAATCTTATAACAAAATTTTCCAGTAGTACATTCAGTCTTCCCATAATATTATTGAAAAGTCTCAGATATCTTAAAGTATCATCAAAGCTTCTTGAAATTCTTTATCTATGTGTATAGTGTTCTATGATGCATTTTAAAAGATTTTTTCGTTAATTCTGTGCTTTTGATTGTTTACGTATCCAAATTGTGCTAGTATACTAGCATGACATTTTTATACTGCCCTAATAACTTTCAATGGCACTAAAAATTTATAAACTTATAAAAAATTACAAAAAATATTTGTATTTTATTTATTGTTTATAACACATATTTCCATAAATTACCATTCAAATATAAGCAGTTGTTTCCTTACAAATAATAGTATACATTTTAAAGCATCTACTTTTCTGTTCAAATTTAAACAAATATTTTATCCACCAGGATAAAATTGGAACTTTAAGTCCACTGGGGCAGAGCCTTAATGTCATTTTTTGAAACCGCTTATTGCACTTCTAGATCCTCCATCCCAATACCTGAGTTCATATGGATTGTAGATTTGTGATGAATGAGTAAGTGACTGGTATTTGCCTTTTATAAAAATATATTAGTCTATTGGAGTAGAATTAATTAGGATTAATTTACTTTTAACAAATTAAAATAATATTTATTCATTGTTCTCAATAAAGCCAACAATTTTGAAAAATGATTGAAGTAACCTAAAACTAGTCACTTGCTGTAGCAAAACTAAATATGTGCTGCATCAAATTGATGACACGTAGTAAATTTTCCACATAGTTACTGCACATGTGCAGGTGATTATTTTGCAGTTGCAACTGAACACATTCCTGATATCCAAGTTTGGTGTTAGCCTATTATTATTTAAAGAGTTGGTGTTACTGAGAAGAAGTAATCTTAAAATATAAATTGTAAATTAGTCATTTATAGGCTTTTAAAGGATTTGGTTAATAATTTTAATAAGTGAATAATTCTCAAGTAGTGCTAAACTAAGGTGTTTAATTGGGTGAGTTCAATCTGAATTAACTATGAAAATCTCCCATTTGTAGCAAAATGGAAAACTTAATTAAATTTCCAGTACATTTACTTAACTTTAATTCAAACTGTTTGGTGATGAAAGCAAAATTAAATAAGACTTAATTCCTCTGTAAATGACAGCTCAACAAATACAGTACATGGGGTTCCAAAAAGGGAAATTAAACAAGTTTCAAGAAATTTAAAAACTTTTGGAAGCACTAGTATTTTGTATGTTTAACACTTATCTGATCGCAATAACCAATAGGTAAAGAATGAAAGTGTTCCATTCTAAATAGTTTTTTTTAAGTTTATTTAAATGGTGGATAATTATATTAAAAAAAAACATGTTAGGCCAAAAAGGTCTAAAAATGATTTTTTGATAATTTTTTAAGAGTTATCTTTTCAACGGACACATATACAACTAGTTGAATCATCCAAATATCTGGCTTGTGGGGACCCTAAACAATGAAGTATATTGGTTCTATTAGTCTTGTCTTATTATAAGTACTATGGTGATAGCAACATTGGAACATTTACTTAAACAGTAGTTTATTAACAATAATATTATGTTTTTGTAATTTAAAAATATTTATGTTTACAGATTTAACGGTGGCTTATCTTCAAAGACATGGTTTCAATACACCAATCCTTTTTAAAGAAAAGGCAGGTCTTGGGTTGCAAGTGCCTAGCCAAAACTTTACGATTAATGATGTTAGAGTGTGTGTCGGTAAGTGTCTTACAGTATATACATATGTGTAAAATACTGTTATATTGTAATAGTTTTTATTTGGACAGTGTTATTTAAACTTCAAATAGGTAGTTCTTCCTGTATCTGATTGTTTCATGGTATACCAGTTTTATTTCAATAAAAAAAATGAACTGATGTATAATTATCCTATGGGACTTTTGGCCAGTGAATGTGTAAGCTTTAATTGTATTTTTGTTTTTTCTCTTTTGTAATTCTCTAACCTTACATCAATTATTGGTGGGTGGACTTCTTTTGATTTAATTCAACAGCAAAAAAGGAAAAATGTTCCTAAAACACTTAAAAATTAATTTAAATGCGAAAAATTCAATTTATAAATAAACATTTGACATTTTTTAGATAAAATTACCTAGTAATTTTGCTGCTGCTTTTGTTTTATAATGGTGTATCATAGCAACCTTCAACTCATGGAATCAAAAATATATAGTCACAGGCAGACAATATTAATACAAATACCTTTAATATTTATATTTCCTAAGATCATCTGATTTACTAGGCCAGGATGGTAAGAAAAAATTCATTAATCAATGACAGCAAGAACACATATGAAACCTATTCAGGATCGAACCAGTAGGTCTTGGGATACACAAGCAATTTTTAAAACCATTCATTCACAATAAGCTGATAACTGTTATAATTTATTTAGTTAGAGAAAATAGTTAATTCCCCTATTGGGTCTGATAATGATTGGAGTGTCCAATCAAAATTGATCACCATTTACCCTATTTTACATATACTGTAGGCCTATACACTGTCTTGTGAGTTAACAGTATAAGTGTATTATATGTTTCAAGTGTTATTAGACTTATTTTTATTTACTTTTCGTTAATTTATTTTACATTTTTGTTCTTAGTCCTATATAATAATTTTAATTAGGTTGAAACAAGATGAATTTTATAAAAAATCACACAGTTGAAATATTTTATAAATTGATTTATTACTTATTTAAATGCTTATTTCCTAAGGGTATATTTATTCATTGCATCCTTGAAATAAGCATGTATAAACATATCTTTTTTCTTTTTTTTTCCTAGGACGCTAGGCACAAGCCCAGAATTGTTTTTCACATTACTTCAGACTAAACCTTAGGGGTTGCCGCATTATCACTTAAATAAAATACATTTGGTGATATGGCGGTATTTGAACCCAGGACCCCTGGAACTGAAGTCCCACGCTCTAACCACTAGACCAACTCGCTCTCCCAAGGACAGCACAAACATATCTTGGAAACTGGTGTTGATATGTTAGTTAATAACCAATAATAGATAAATCACTTTTAAAAAACTTTAATACCCAATATAACTAGGATTTCCAACTAATTTAAAAGTAATATGCACATTGGTTCTTTAAATCATAACAGCATTGTTAGTTAATCGATTAAGGTCGATTCACACACATCGGTCCAGTCACAGTTCCGTTACAGTCCAGTTGCAGCCCAGTTACAGTCCAGTCACAGTTGCATCCGCAATTTCTCAGTCAATTGTCCGTCAGTTGGTTTCAGTCAGTCTTCCGTGTCTAATATTTGCAGTAATTTACAGTCAAAAAATTTAAATTATATACCTATATTCTATTAAATTACCATTGTACATCTTGTTGATTGTTACAAACAGTACTCAAAATACAAATGCAACCATTTAAATAACAATAACACTATTTTCTAACCTCAAACAGTTCCTTCAGGCGTCCGAACAATCAAAAAATATCGGTGAAAAGAAATCTGAAATTGACTGACGGATGCCGGCAGAGAGACTGACGGGACTGCAACGGATGAGTGAAGATAACACAATAGAAAATCCATCAAAGAATATTTTTGTTAACTGTGACGTGCCTGAAGTGACTTTACTGTGACGTGCCGTAACTGATGTGTGTGAATCGACCTTTAGAGGAACAAAATAATTTTTATTTTTGTGCTGCAATATTAAACAGTTGATACAATAACTATAAACCTTAGGACCAAATGCCGATGGATAATGTTTCACATTGATTGGATTCTAGCATTAAGTGGTCATTATTTTATTTATTACAAAAATTCAATTGTGTAAAAATAAATTTTTCAAGTTATCTTTTAGATTAGACAATGACCATTAAAATAAATGAATAGCAATCATACCTCATACTGAAAAAAGTCTGTATTACCATTAGATCCATTGTTGAAATATTAGAAAATAAAGCATAGGTTATCTCAATTTATCTTTTTGCATAGTCCACGTATTTTTCACCTTTCCTTAACATTTGCATGCTCTACTTTAGTCAAGACATCATACTAAATGATATTCACTCCTCAGGCATACTATAAAATAAATTTATATTGTACGAATGTCAGTGGGTATATAATTTAAAATGCTAAAAGAATCACCTTAGAACACAGTTTACCCCTTTAACCAGCAATATAGACATTTACATTAACTGAAGATCTAAATAATGTAGTTAATAATAGCGTTGACTCACAAAGTTAACTTAAGATGTTTTAGTCACAATGATTTATCAAAAACTACTTTTCTCTCAAGGGTCTCGAAGACAGCTGGACGTTATGGATGTTAACACACAGAAAAATTTTGAAATGTCCATGAAGGAGTGGCAACGATATTATGAGGAGTCAAATAAAGACAGACTGTTGAATGTCATTTCACTGGAGTTCAGTCACACCAAACTGGAAAACTTTGTCACTACTCCTACCATTGTGAGTATTATTGAAATATTCTTCTAACTTTCTTTAATGAGAACATTTTTCAAATTTTCAAATTTATTTTGATGATAAAGGTAAGGATATTTATACTGATTAAACATAAAGAGGATTTATTGGGCCCTATACTACAGACAGTTGCAGTTAACTTGATATATATATATATATATTACAGAGTTAACAGATGGGTACAGCACAGAAATCAGAGTAGCATGGGCTTGAACAGTGCTGAATTTAGGGTACTAACAGCCCCAGGCCAAATTAACCCGCAGGGCCCTGTCCTCTGCGTGGAACTTGTCGGCTATCCCTGCGAAATCGTGAATTTCTCGATGGGGCTGGTGCATTAGTTCATGGCAAATGTATAAAATTATCAAAATTTAAGATTGAGAATAAGGTTATTTTGTTAGATTAACATAGTAAACTTAGTTTTCTGACTTTTAAAATAAACCCTTCTTGGGAAGGCTCTCTCTCCCTATTCGGAAATTATCGTGACTTCATCTTGGAATGAATCTTAGATCAGACACTCTGAAGTTTGCATCTATTCATCAAGCTCAACCTTTTCATTGAAGTTTTGTATTACACTTTTTATTGTATTTTCCTTGCAGTTGAATGTGTTTTATATTTTCAACTAATGGTATGGATTCATTGCTAATATCAGTGCTTAAAAAGTCAAAACACCTTATAGGCCTCCTAGAATTATTAAAAAAATTCTACTTGTAGTTGGAAAATGGTTTAATTAGGATGAATAAATAATGAATAATAAATATATGACATATTTGGTTAAGATGGTTTAAGGCCAGGGTTAGGGGGAAACAAAGTCCTTAATAAATAATTACATCCATAATACCCCCACCTGACTAAGTAGTATACAAAATATTGTTGTCTTGTGGGATGGTACATTATAAAAAAGATTGGGAAACACTGTGTCATAGTAAATTGCTGGCTACTTTTAATCACCAGGTATAAAAATGTTTATAAAAATTGTCAGTTGTAGTCACTGACTGGTACGTTTTACATGGTCAATCTGTGATGAAGAGGACAGTGTTGCAAAATCTCTCAGCATCAACTGCCTCTTTTTATAGCTATTGGTTAGTTTATGTGATCTTGTAGTTTTCTCCTGTATTGAAGTTTTTGGATTCAGGATTTAGTAGTTGGTTGTATTAAAATCCTACGACTTATTATTACTTGCATCTAAAAAAATCCGACCCAAAGAAAATTTACATTCTCTTGGGCACCCTCTTGCTTCCCCAACCATCCCGCTCAGGTATGTCCTGGTCACTCAAAATGGAAAAGCTTGGAACAATTTAAAGGCATCAAATTACTAACACTTTTCTGATATCTGAATACATTTTAAATTCTAAAAGGAATTGCAAACAAGTCTATTGATTTCTTTCAAAAGGAAATAAAATAAGTTATAAATTGTTCTTGTCTAATTACACATGTCTCTAATTGGTTTACTTAACAGATTACATCAATAGTCCAGTAAGGGTTGTCTCAAAATAAACTGATTAAGTTATCACAAGATTCTGTTGAACTTTTTATCAATTCCTTCAATCATTGTTATAGGTTCGTCATATTGACTGGGTGGATTGTGTCTGGCCGAAACATCTCAAGGATATGCAAGTAGAGTCCACAAATGCCATTGATGACATGATGTATCCCAAGGTGCAGAAGTACTGCCTTATGTCAGTGAAAGGGTGCTACACAGACTTTCACATTGACTTTGGAGGCACCTCTGTCTGGTACCATATCCTAAAAGGGAGCAAAGTAAGATTCCGACAATAAACCACTACTAAGTAGGATAGATACTTTATTTCTTTGTTATACACTTTTCTATATGTCAATCAAATACAATTGTATACAGGTTGTGACAATTGAAATTTATTTGAACATTTTGTGACTCATTTGTAGGCAACTTAACTTGAAGAGCTACACTTGAAGCTTGATAGTTGAAGATTTTTTTAAAACTTCTATGGCTAGTGTTACTGTATATAAAATTCTTCTGAGGCCTTTGATAAACCAAAGTAAAGTGCTATTAGTTTTATTGTACAACAGCTTGAGGTAAATATATTGCAATTAACATTCAAAAATTTGACAGGCAAATAATATAGATGAAATATTTTAGCCATAGTTTTTTCTTGAATGATGTACAGTATATTTTGTATTACTTGTGTTTTCATTGTAGTCATCTTTGTTGCAATGAAAGTTTTAGTTTTATATACAAAGAGATAACTTTTAAAGAAGTGGTAAAGGTATACCACTTCTTTAAAAAGATAGCAAGAAGGAAGTAGTTTCTTTGTGGAATAGAAGAATAGGATGTGGCTGAACTATACATAACATCCTATTAAGATCCTATTAGATCCTATTAAGTCAGCTGATAAAATAATGCTAACTAAAAATTCATCTGACTTCAGAAAAAGCAAACTTACTCTCACATCGGACATTCTCCACATCCTAACGACATGGAGGAGTTCCAAACTAATTTCTCTTTGTCGGTATTTTAAATATCTTAACTTCTTTAATTTTAATGGACTTTAAAATATATTAATGTATTTTGACAGGTGTTTTGGTTGATCCCACCAACAGAGCACAACATCGCCCTATATGAACAATGGGTTTTGTCAGGAAAACAAGGAGACGTGTTTTTTGGAGACACAGTTGAACGTTGTGGCCGTGTCACTCTCACTGAAGGCAACACATTCTTCATTCCAACAGGATGGATCCATGCAGTTTATACACCTAAGGATTCACTTGTTTTTGGTGGCAACTTCCTCCACTCATATTGTATTGACAAGCAACTTCGCATTGCACAAGTGGAGGATACAACACATGTAAGTGATGCTCTCACTTACATAACAGGAGAGTTATTAATCCTTTTCTCAACGTTGGCGATGTCATTAATGTAAACTGTGTATAATTGTCTCAACATCAGCTGTCTCTGCCATTGGCCGCCTTTCTCTGTGTATCATGGCGGCAACTGCGCACCAGCTTGGAATTATTTTGCTTTGAAAGCTGCTCACTATGTATCACCATTTAGCAGATATCTAAAAATTTTGCTGAACAAAACCTTTTTAATGATCTTTTGAGCGTTCAGTTATTTTTATGCTGCGTAGAACCACTGGCCATTTGAGCGGCTTGTACAGCCAATGTACAAATTTACAAGCTGCTGAACAAAAGATGGTCATCAGTACATCTGGCCACTCGACTAGTTAAGAAAGAATGAAATAGTCTTTCGGAACTTACAGGTTATATAAATTATATAGTATATATTATAAATAATATAGTTATACAAATAATAAAATGTTCTATTCTTGTGTCTAGTTGTTCATTTTTTGTAAATTTCAGCATTCTTTACAACAAGGAAAAAACTATGGGATTTATACATTATGTGTAGTATGACTTAATTAAAAATTGTCACTAAAATATTGCTTGTATTGTATTTTAATAACTATTGTAGGTTCCGCAAAAATTTAGATATCCGTTCTTTACTGAGATGCTGTGGTATGTGCTGGAGAAATATGTTTATTTTTTACTGGGGAATTCTCATCTACACGACACCCCACCCAACCCAGCCCACCCGTACCCAGAACATGTTCACCTCACACCTCAGGTTAGTAAAACATGTCAACAAATCAGCTTAGAAATAACATTCACGTTTTAAAAATCAGGGATGTTGAATTTATATATTATTTAGAGTTAGACTCTCATGCTATGAATTTGTCTGTTAAGAGGGTTCCACCTGCCAGCGGGTTACCTCGTAAACATGGTCCTACAAAAACTAACCTCCTGTCATTATTAAAGTGTTTATCTTGTTGAAATATTCACAAAGACCCAAACTATGCCCTGGATGAACTGAAACTTTGTAAGTGTTTCTTTAAGTATTTACTTAAAGTGGGACTTGGAATTAAATGTAGCAGCTAAGACAATTTTATCATTTTCCATTCCTGCTTGTGAAAAGTGAAAATCAGTTTACTTTTTTCCTTGGAGTGTTGGAAGTTGCAAGTCAAGTGTTATGCAATTTTGAAATAGGTATTTTTTAATTTAATGTTTAATTTAACTTTTAGGAACTGCAAGGTATCAAAGCAATAGTCGGGTACCTTCATTCATTGCCTCAGAATAAGAAGAATGTTCCTGATTTGATCAAAGATCCAATAGCTTTGATTAAAGATGTGAGAACTTTGGTTGAACAACACAGACATGACAACCATCAACTGGCGACAACTGGACGGCCTATCTTGCTCTCCATGGCTGATAAACGCAAGGTAAATGACACACAAGCCAACTAGAACACAATAAACATTCTGAGTGTCTTGCTTCAAACTGTCCATCAGACAAACATACTTTTATCTAGGAAATACTTTGTCCATTTGCCACTAATATACGGATTAATTTTGTTGTATAATGTTTTGAAAACTACCCAAGTTTCGGTTCTTCTATTTTGAAACTCATTAGAATTTGTTATCTTGCTTTTTTAGTCAAGTTTGATTCATTAAAAATATTCAGAAAATTCTCTTTTTCACTACCGGTAACTCGTCTGTCACTTCATTAATAAAAAAAGTGTAAGGTTACTTGAAACATGATTTCTGTTACATGTTATAAATAAGGATTCAAACATGAAGACATACATATTTTTAAGTATGAACGCCTTTCTTTGCAGAACTACGAAAGGCAAATGAACATCGTCAAGAACCTTTCCAATCATAACGTGATCAACAACAATTCAATGGCCAAGATGAGACCGGGTATGCTGATCAAAGGAGGCTCGTTACCCGGAAGCAGGCTGCACGCCAATCACCACAATCACCACAGTCACCATAGTCACCACAGTCACCATAGCCATCACAACCATATGTCGTCAGGCCCTCGTCGCCGACGCACACGGTGCAAGAAGTGTGAGGCTTGTCAGCAAAATGACTGTGGCGAATGTGCCTTCTGTCAAGATATGGTAAAGTTTGGTGGACCCGGTCGTGCCAAACAGACATGCATCATGCGACAGTGTCTCCAGGTGTGTAAAAATATATAGTTTAGCTGCCTGAGAATAGCAAGAATATGTGAAATATTAGTTATAGGGCCATTAATTTTGGTCTTTAACCTAACTTTGTGTTCAGTTGTAATTTTCCACAACGCCTGACCTCAGCTGACTGCTTTTATGATCTACGTACACATTCACATGAACTATGAAATTATGAAGAATGAAAAAACCTTATACCCATGCCAGAATATGGAATGTGCTGTATTTAGGGTTTTTTAGTCACCACATCAGTGAGGATTTTTAGTTGTAGATTTTTAAATATTATAATAACTACAGGAGATTGCTGTGAACAACTTTTTACTATAAAATACTGACAGTTTAAATAGTTTTAAATCAAGAGACGAGCTCTTTGGTGGAAAAAACTGTATTATTATAACCTTAAAATTAAAGTACTTGGAAACAATCCCAAGAAGTAAGATGTTTCATGTATCAGCCAGAAACTAAAAAAGCAACAAATAACAAACGATAATAGCACTAAACCCCACTATATGTCAAATAATTTAACAATTCTGGATTAGGTTTTTGTGGTTCTGTGTCTGAAAATGCATTTGTATGCTATATAGCCTCGACTTATTGTCACAAGTAGTGTAATAAGTTAACATTGTTCTTGGAACTAGAGAGAAGGATAAACTGAGATTTTTTTGTGATTTGTTACATTTTATAAGCTATAATTAGGAACCAAAATGAAATATACTTGATAGTAGATTAATTATATTTTTACGACCCAGGGACACTAGGGTATGTATTTTAAGATGAAGATGAGTGAACAATGAGAGTTGAATAAATGAGATGACAGCATTGCTACTGACTAAGATCAGTTGGTTCTTTATTAAAAGCCTAATGATCAAGGACAGCTGGGTCACGTATTGAACATTAAAATGATTTTGACTCATTGTAAGAACACAAACGAGAGTTATCGCTGAGGTGATACTTCTCACCCAATATTTACAATGTTAACATCCCGCTCAATACAAATTCCCCTGTCATGCTTTCAACCTAATAAATAATAACTGATGACATCTATGCACTTACACATTGGATGGTTGGTGTAGAATGGTTATGATGATAGCAGTGAAGAGGTATACACACATTACATGAGTGCAACAGCTACTACGTAGTATAGCCTCTTCATTGTGTTGGTTGTTGTAGCCCATGTTGCCGGTGACGGCCGCTTGTGCCTCATGTGGTTTAGACGGCTGGGGTCAGCAACTTGTCATTCCTATCCAGAAGACCAACAAGGAAGTGCCTAGCAGCCTGATGGAGTGCAGCGTCTGCTACGAGATTATTCACCCGGAATGTGTTGCCAAGCTGGTAAAGAAACTCAGACAAAACACTGTCATCGATATTTTCTTGATTTTATGATTTCTTGAATACTCATTATCTATTGTTGGTAAAAGCAGTAAATACATTACAAATTAATACAAAAATAAACTTTATTAATGTGGACATAGCTTATGTGTGCCTGGTCTAATGCGTGTATGATATCCTAGATACAGTTATAGTGTTCTGTAGTCAATTTTTTTTTTTTTATTTATTTTGAACCAGAGCAAGCTGTGAACTTCCTCACGACATTGTAACCAATGAGAATACCTCATCATAAGACCACCAGTAGTGTGAATACTATCCACTCTTCCATTGAAAACATTGAAACTGTAATAAAATGCACGATTTAGCTGTGAATTTAAAATAATGGATTGTTAAATGTTAGCTGTTCAATCCTTGTAACTTACGATGCCAGTGTAATTGAGAATTCGTCAATACACGATACTCGACTTTGGATTCAATACTGATTATCAAAGTAATCATGATGAGTAAACTTGCCTGTGATAACATTATGATAATCTCCAGTAATCACAGCAACATTGAGAATTTTCCATCGCACAACAGGTGCTTCCAGAATCACTTTAACATCCCTAGATTTCCCTCCTGAAAAAAATCTTGAAACTCTCCAAATATCTCTGAGTTCTTTGAGAATAAACTATGAACTTCATTTTGGAATATGGGGACCCTGAATGACAGTAAAATTAGTGTGTCAATGGTAAATTTGTAGTAAAATCCCCTGTAGATATATGGTTGGACACCTACTACTAAAAAAAGTACTACTACTCAATACTAATTCCATTTAATTAACATCACAGTATGAGTTCAAAACAAAATGTGAACATGAATTTAACATTACAAACCAGCTTAAACTTAGCATTACCTGTTACCTTTCCCTATATTTTGATGTGTATTAGTGTCATTCTCACATCTACTGTTTTATGTTGTGTAACCAACTTTTTTTCTGAAACATCCTTTGTTTTCAGTGTCCGGACTCTGAAGGAATGGTCAATGAAGACTTGCCCAACAGTTGGGAATGTCCAAAATGTTGCAGAGATGGAAAAAATATTGAATACAAGGTAAATATAATGTGGATTGTTTTGTAGACAGTAAACATATGGAAAACAATGAGGAAGATTACAATATCACTAAGTAAAATTGAGTACCTATATTTTCTAAAATCTGTCAATCTTTATCAACTATTAACATTGATACACAAGAGATAATCTTTTACAATGGGTCTTTTTCAATCGGCAAATATAAGCCTATGCGAACTTTCAATAAGAAACCTTAATGCTGGAAGGGTTGCTTGAAAATTTTGTCAATTTATCAAAATGTAGACAGAGGGGTATGTATTGTAGAAAAATATACAATTTGATACAAACAAATTTTATAACAAAAAAATAAAAAAAATTGTAGATTGTACAAAAAAGGTTGTAGCTGTAAAAAAGGTGAAATAGTTATAATAAATGTGGGTTTACACGTTTGTACTAAATATGATCAAAATCAGATGATTTTTGCTTGAGTTAGCGTGCTAACAGACACACACACACATATATATAAATATATATGAGTTAAACGGATCGTGTTTTTGGCCTCTGAGGACATCAAAACAAAAATTTAAATTGGTCCCTGGTCCAGGTCTTACCATGAGACCTACGGTCTAATAGCTTATTCCCTATATGGAAAATTTTCTAAAAATTAAGTTCATCACACAGACTGAAAGAGTATTTTCTGACCTCTGCATCATCTCAGTCGTTAAACTCGAGATGTGATGAAAAGTGTCACTTTAGGCTCTAGTGATGGAATATACTATATTAATGCATTTGTGGCTCAAACACTGCTAAATTTGTACCATTGCATTACATTTTGTGGTGAATTTAATAATGGTATATTTACTACAGCCAAGACATTTCCGGGCTCGACAAAAGTCATCTGACATTCGCAGAATGTCATGTAGCTCTGACAATAGTTCTGGCAGACGAGATCGTCTTGACGTAAGTAGTGCATTCTGTACTATGTATAGCAAAACACAAAGGTAGACTACATCTTTTGCTTGTTTTATAAGTTGTGACAATACCGGGTGTCCGAAAAAGAACTTGGTGTCAGAAAGTTGTGAAATTTGTTTATATATTGTACAATATACAAATTACAATGATATAGAGGATACATTCAATAGTACACTCAAGTGGTGTCTAGCACCAGTCACTGGTGTCTAGAGAAAATTCTATTTTTCTTCCCCTTCCGCTTTTCTTTCCCCCCTTGCCATCCCATATTACAGCGCTCACGCTGTAGGAAGTCACTGTGCTCTACAACTGCTGTACCAAAATGCTATGCAGTCATGACTGTTTGGGCTCTCATGCTCAAAAACAAATGGTAGCTTCATCGTACAAGCTTCATGGTACAAGTACATTTCTGCCCCACCATACCAGAGCTAAAAGCGCACGGTTGTTTCTATAAGCTTGTTTCCTCTGTATCTTAGTCCAGGATCTGAAGGGGGTTGAGTATGGAAAGCCTGACGCAATTTTATTTCTGATTGTTGTTATACTATGGTGATCATAAAAAGGCGTGTTGTCGCCCCCCAGTGTGGTCGACATTCCCGGGGTGAGGGGGGGGAATATGTCGGGGGGTGCCGTTTACTAAAACGCTTATAACTCAAGAACCATTTTAGACAGAACATTGAAATAAATGCCAATTTACTCAAGTTATGACCTTCTTATGTTCTGAGGTTCTTATGTTTAAATTTGTATCTAGGTTGGTTTTTTTGCAATAGCATATTATATTTTACTGAAGCCAATATCTCCAATAAACAGTATGTTGAAAAAGTCCTAAAACGGCTAATATTTTTCAACCAACATAGATACGGTAGCACAGTTTTGTTTCTAGATACTTATCATTAAAACCTACCTTTTTAAGCAACTGATAATAATTTTCTTCTCCTCAATCTCCTCCGAGGCCCACAAGGAGTAAGAAGAAAAACTTTAATGTAACCATAGATTGATATACACATCAAAATAACAACTGAGTAAAAAATGGCAGCTGTTTAAAGATTCAAAATGGCAGATTCAAGATATCTTTGAACGGCTGTCATTTTTGACTCGGTTGTCCGTTTGAGTTCAAATGTACGGCGTTGTATTTTACTAGTAAAGACCTTTATTTTGATTTGCATACCAACCTATGCTTACGTTAAAGATTTTCTTCTTAATCCTTGTGGGCCGTCCTCCTGGAGGAAAGAAAAATTGATAATTGGTTAAAAAGGTAGGTTTTTTATGTTATATATCTGGATACAAAATTGTACCACCGTGACTATGTAGGTTAAAAAAATATTAAGCCTCTTGGGGACTTTTTTAACACGCTGTATATTGAAGATTTCAGCTTAGGTATAAAATAATACGCACAACCTAGATATGGATTTAAACATAATCTAATTTTTTGCAGGTCATACTTTGATGAGTAAATTGGCATTTATTTTAATGTTCTATCTCAAATGGTTCTCGAGTTATAAGCGTTTCAGTAAACGGCGCCCCTCGCCATATTCCCCCCTCCCCACTGGGATGTTGACGCTGGGGGGCGACAACATGCATTTTCATGATCACTATAGTGCCTATAAAAACAGTCAGAAATAAAATTGGGCCAGGCTTTCCATGCATACTCAAACCCTTTAAGATCCAGGATTATCTTACTTCTATGTGCTAATATTTACTAATAAAAAAATACTATATTAATTTAATGTTTAAAAAAATAATGCACAAACATGCCAAGAGTATTGGGAAATTTAAGTTACGAGGGGGGTTTTTTTTATAAAGAATCCTTAGACAAAGATAGAATAACACAACCATATTTTTTGGGATTTATTTTTCAACATAATCTCTTTTTAGCTCAACATACTTATCTAAACGTTTCTCCAAACTCCTTATGCCATCTAAATAGTACGAACTTCAAAAGCCTTCGAAACACTCTTCTGTTTTAGTAATGACCTCATCATCTGACATGAAACGTTGCTCACTAAACAACTTTTTTAGGTTAAGAAATATAAAAAGTCACTTAGGGCTAAATCTGATGAATGTGGTGGACGAGACAATAATTCAAACTTCAATTCCATGATTTTTGCTATCGAAACCGTGCAGGCGTGCACCCTTGAATTGTCTTGATGAATGAGGATCTTTTTCTTTTTTAAATGGGGACGCTTCGCCTTAATTTCATTGCTCAACCGGCTTAATAATGAGAAATAGTTCTCTTCAGTTATTGTTTGTCCTTTTGCCAGGTAGTCAATATAAATTATTCCACGAACATCCCAAAAAAAAAAACAGTTGCCATTACCTTGCCAGCAGATCTCACCTGCTGTCTTCGCCTTCCTCGGTGCTTGTTCGCTCGAAAAAATCCACTGCTTAGACTGTTTCTTTGTCTCCGGAGTGTAGTAGGGAATCCATGTTTCATTTTCTTCAGTTATGTATTGACGAAGAAACTCATCTAGATTTTGACGGTAAAGCGCCAGAACAGCTTTGGAATTGACCACACGGTAATGCTTATTCTTTCTGAAGGCAAGTACACCATCCATCTTCCCGAGACTTTTTTAACACCCAGCTTTTCATTTAAAATGGAAAACACTGAACCTTGTGATACACCTGTGGCCTCAACTATTTCACACACTTTAATTCGCCTGTCATTCAAAACCTATTCCTATTGTTCCTATATTGTGAATTTTGTCAATAATGTCAGGGGTAGTCACTTCCACTGGTTGTCCTGGTCGGGGTTCATCTTGTGTTGATATGCGGCCACGTTCAAACGCATTTACCCAGTTGTGAACAGTTAGTTACAAATACAGGAGCAGGTGTGCCATGAACTCAATCCAACTCAGCTTTGATATCCTTGGGTTTTAAACCTTTCAGAAATAAATGTTTTATAACCGCTCAAAATTGACTTTTTTAATTTTTCAAAATGCACAGAGATTTGTTTACAAAATCAACAATACAAATGAACTCAGCTGACGATTTTGACAGAAACTTTATTGTCAGCTGTTAATTAAATAGTGAAGTTGTCTGTAAACAAACCATTTGCAGTACTATGACCGGTGTTTATATATTTTTCTAAGGACTTATTGAACCACTATTTAAGACTAACCCAAAATGAATTGAGCATGAATTAGTGTGTGCATCTCCTCTATATTTAAACAAATTGTTGTACGGTACCTGAGGTTAGAAATGTGTTATTGTTTTTGAATCTGCAGCACAGTTTGCCTGAAAGCAAAATCGGGGTTTTATATAAAAATCCCAAGAAGTCACATAAAATGTATTTCTGATTAGTTATAATTATGTTTTCATTTATTTAAATTTGTTGTTTAGGTTGACTCAGATGGGTCGCGTTCAAGCAATGACAGCTACTATGACACATCAATGGACAGTGAATTGCCTTCTTCCAAAAGAATGAAGGGAGACATTGATGATAACTCAGGAATGGGGGTAGGGCTGCTATACAGTACTCGCTTTAAAATACAGTAACTACCCATTTTTACTAGTAAAGAGATGAATACAAAACATTATCATTATTGAAATAATTAAATCATAGTAAAATAAAAAATGGCAAGCAAAATATTCTGTGAACTAGAATGTGAATTCGAATTTGAATTAGAGTTCCATGGAGTTCCTTCTACACAAATGTTTTGCTTCGCAAATTCTAGCCAGTTTAGGAACTCTATTTTTTATAAATATGTTTTTCTTACAATGGGAGTCTTTCTTCCTCAGGACTAAGTCGGCTTCCAATTATGAAGGAATATCCTTTTTGCCTTGTAATACGATTCCCACTGAAGGGGTCTAGAATATTTCTTGTCTCTTACGTTTTTCATAATCTTCTCATTAGCATTACATCCTGTGAGCCTCTCTTCTGATCTATGACTCACCTAGTTAATTAGGGGTGAGAGATACTTTGATTATGTTATGAGTATTTAGACCAAGCTCGATTTCTTTAAAGCATTTGATCATCCTTAAAATTATAATTTTATGGTTTGTCTTGAACATGATTTTACTTAACTTTTATGTTTATAATATTAGCCAATTGTTTGTGAATGTTCCAGCGATGGTCCGGAGACAACGACCATCATTTGAATGGAACCTCATCAGTGAAGCACAGTCACAGTTTGGATGACCTCTCCAACAACCACGAGCCAAGAAAATCTGATCTAAGAACTCAATTAGCATATCAGCTCATTGGCAGTTCTAATAAAGTGCTTCGGAGACCGATGTATCCTGTTCGACCATCTAGCTTAAAACCGAGTGGGCCTGCTCCACTGATGGCGAAACCACAGAACACGGGACCAGTAGTCGAAAGAACTTGTTTACTTAATATATTTTCATATTTGACTCCTTTAGATCTAGCTCGCTGCGCTCTGGTCTGTCGAGTATGGTCGAACGTAAGTGGGGACCCTTCTCTGTGGAAGAGGATGGACGTATCTGGTAAAAGACTTACAGGAGCTTGTCTTATGAATATAGTTAGGAAGCAACCAGAAGTATTGATCCTGGATTGGACAGCCATTGCCAAAAGACAGTTGACATGGCTAGTGGTGCGTTTGCCACAGATGAAGGAACTATCTCTGCAAGGCTGCTCGTGGATGGGGGCATCTGCCCTCAGAACCTGTACGTGTCCTCCGCTCACATCCCTCGACCTGAGTTTTGTTACGGGACTCAATGATGCATCCTTACGTGATTTATTAAGCCCGCCTCCTGATTCTAGACCAGGATTAGTGGACACAAAATCTCGTTTAAGATATTTGCAAATATTAAAACTAGCCGGTTGTGATCTGTCAGACGTTTCATTACGTTATGTCGTTCAAAACTTGCCCAATCTGGCTCATCTAGACATGTCGTCATGCCCAAGACTGACTGATGCGGGAGTTGCACAGTTAGGAACCCCTCCCGCATCTACAATAACCACCCTGGTCTCCCTAGACCTTGCTGGCTGCCGTCTTCTCACAGAAACTTCCCTCGAATATCTCAGCCGCTGCAACTCTTTGGAGAGGATAGATTTGCGCCACATCTCACAGATATCGCCAGAAGCTGTTGAAAAATTTGCTGCAACCAGAAATGGACTGGTGGTAACTGAAGAGAAACTCATAGAAAAGTGTGTGAATAAGAGAGTAAAATAAATTCCAAAACTAGCGGTGAATAATGTTGGCAATAGGTAATCTAATTGAGGATCTGGATGGATTGTGTGTAAAGTAGTTAATTTGTCATGTCTTATTGGTTACGCCTCAATTGTGCACAGCGATTTATGTTTAAGTTCCGTTTCTCAATCAATATAAATGATTGATTAGGGTACTCTCTCAAACTTGAAACTATGATCAATCCTTAAATATAGGGATGGGCGTATTTTGATTCTCTATCCTCCACAATACTGTCAATACTTAGGGTAATGAGGAAACATTGATCCTCGATATTTTGTGTTAACCTATCTCTCGGTAGCAGAGATATCACCATTGTCTTCTACATTTGCTGTAAAATTATAAAGATCTTCTATGATTGCGGGGACATAATTTTCTCCCATGTTTGCAGAGTACTTCATCATCTTCATCATCTTTAGCGACTGTAAACATCTCCCACAATTGCATAAACATCATCATCATCTTCTGATAATTGTAAATTCGGAATTGGAATCACATAGATCTGGCTAAAGTCTGTCGCCTACTTGTGGTAACATCAGGAACGTTGTTGTGATGACCCTACACTGCTCCGTTTGTCTGTAAGGTACGCTTGATACCACCGTGATTCTGCATACCCAGCCAAGACTATTGCCCCTTATAAAAAATATGCACATTTGACTGGAGAAAAGCAGGGATGAACTGCGCTTTTCATTTTCAAGTTTGAGTGGGGACCCTGTTGATAAGCACCATATATTGTAGCATTGTATGTTTGTACTGGTGTAAATTTATATGCACTTGTAAGTTCCAAGTTGTAATGCATATCTTCTATAACTTTTGGGAAACTTCTAGTTAAGCTAAAATTCTTAACTATACATACATGATGACTGATAAGGTATACGTTTTACACGAGTTGTACAACCTAATTTCGAAACAAGAGATTCTATTTTAGTGTTGTGTTAAGGATAAATATATTCTTTTTACTGTCAAATATTATTTGTTGATAATTTTAACTTTTAACATACATTTTTGACCTTTTTAACCTAAGTTTGTGACAACAGACTCTGTTTTAGTGATGTGTTAAGAATATTCTTTTAACAGTCAAATGTTATATTACAATGATTTTAACTAGATTTTCAACTTTTATTTTAGTTTGATATGCTCTCAAAATTATTAGGCTGAAGAGTATTATGTACATTGTATTGATACAACATGTGCAAAATTGCAATCAATGTTAACATTATTTCCTATAAAACTATCAACGGATGGAAATAATCATTGAAACATGTTTTATATACAGTTTCTGGTGCAACAAGCACGGTGTGGTGCCAATGTTTAGTTCTGATATTGATAAAATCTTTCTCAAAACCTATCATTGTACATTTTACACAAATGTTTTTTTCTCTTACAACTTTTTGTATGAGAGCAATGCTTTCTAACAAATGATTATATAAAAAAAAAAAAATTATAAGAGTTTTTCAGCCTTAGACCGCTGAATCAAATGCACCAATCATAAAGGTTAAAATTTGTTTTGTTATTCGATTTAATTACAGTATAACTCTAACTATCCAAAACTCAATTAACTGCATTCCAAATTCTGCAAATCGCTATTTGGTGAATTGATAAAAAAAAACCAGTTTGAGGGGGGTAGATAGGCGAAGAACAAGTGCCTAAAATGCTGTTACTAAAGCAACAATGCATCCACTATTCCTACATGCTATTTTTAGCAGAATAGTAAAGCCATCATCACCCCCTCAAGCCCTGCCTTGCCACTGATCCGTCAGATTATGTTGTTTGTGTTCTCATTGAGTTAAGCATCTACAGCTGTATAAGTACCCCAAATTAGTACATAACGAAACAGTGATCATCTACAACGGATTGGATGTAATCTTCTGTACCTTTGACTCCCGAAATGGACTGATCCCCATTTTAATTTGGATAGTCAGAGTTTTACTGTATTTATTTTTGTAATTTCCATGTAGAACTGAGCAGAGTTTAAGCGTAAAATACTCTTTATGTGATATAATGTAGTTTATTACAGAAAATATGGTTTTACTGTTATTTTAAGTATACTTTTATGTTTTAACATATTTTTTAAATAAGAAAATTCATTGTATTTATTAAGTGTTTTTTGTTTGTCTGAAACTATTCAGAACTATTGTGATTCTTTGAAAACTGTTGTGTTTTTATAATTTTATTTTTAAAGATATATTATCATTTATATTTACATCCTCTTCTCCATCGTTGATGTAAGAAAGCTTTAATAGATTTGAGTTAGTTACAAAATATTTGTTAATTCATGTTCATGGAACATTTAGTTGTGATTTATTAGTAAAACCCCCTAGTAAACAAATTGTCTTTAATTTTTAGGAGGTACATTTTTCAATAATCCAATATCAAGACTGCTTTTAGAACAATGTATACATTATATCTTTGAGATCTTTTTGAATTAGTTTTCCTGCTAAAAACTTGATTCACCCGAATTTTGAAAAAAAAATAAAACTTTGCAGGCAAAGGAAAAGGCAAGCACACTGGGCCCAGAGGCTAATTCTTTCTACGAATCTAGATTCTGTCAACGTCTTTTAACACAGTTTTACAGATGTTTTAATATTTAATATTTTGAGTAGTGATGGGTCTGATGGGGTAGGTTGCTGGTTTTATCAGTTCAGGCTTATTTGGAAGTTTGCTAAAAAAGTAATATCCCAACAATGCTGACTAACAAATGTCAATATAAAATATTAGTAAGGTATTCATACCCCCCCCCCCCCCAAAAAACAAAAAACATATTGTGTCTTATAAGATGATTTTTTTTCTGAAGCAATCATAAATGTAAGAAAGATAATTGTTTACATAACAGTGCTGATATATTGACTGAACCACTGAGTCACCTATATTGCAACTTGTAATCAAATATTCAAAATTATTATTGGTTACGTTACAACCCTGCCTTTTAAAATATCCAAGCAAAAACGGCAACAAGTGGAAACTGTTTGCATTTGCAAATTGCATTACCATTCTTCCTTACCATTTAAGTTTGTTCTTCCAATTGCACAATATAAGATACTGGTTAAAAATATAAAAACACTCAAAATGGAATACTATATGGCCAACTTACTGGAAATGTAGAGTATATTTCTGGAGATCTGTAAAAAATAAGAATCGGGGGGGACATTTTAAGTTCACCTTGTCTAATTTCAACCATTATTGTATCATTTACTTGTTGTGTATTCTATTCACTGCCATTCAGACCGTTGTAAGAACTCTACTTCTCTAAATATTTCTGGCTTAACTAACTCACTGAGAATTGGTTGATTTCACTATCTTCTTTAAAATCCTGACAGTCAGAGTGTTGTACAAATTTCTGTATTTGAACTATATTCTGTGTTAGCATTGATGTATTGGTGGTAAAAATATGCTAAAAATCTAATGTAATGCACAAAAATATTCATTTTTATCCTTTGCTGGAAAAATACAGTCTAATATTAGTATTTTGGTAAAATGTTGTCGGTATATGGGATCAGACATTAGCATTTTTGCGATTGTTTGTAATTAATTAGTGGTTTTTTTATCTGCCATTATATGGCATTCAATTATCTATTTTAGACCATTCTTTGATCGATTGTGGCTTAATTTGAAATTGTGTAACATCATTTGGTGCCTAGTAGATTCCTTTTTTGGTAAATTTACAAGTCTTTTTTCTGAACAAATAGCCTACTAGATGATTGAAATAAATATGTATTGTAGGCTAGTAATATTTTTAACAATGTCCCAAGTTTTATATTGTTTTTATTTGTATAGTTTAAATTTCTTAAAAAATATATAGATTATAGATAATTTTAATAGTGGTATATTTATACTTAATATTTACGTTCCCATTCTGATAGTTAAAGAACCAAACATAATATTGTGTTAAAATTGATTGTAGTTTTAGAACCATTACACTATACGTTTGCTATATTTTGGTAATTTTATTATATTGGAACTAGATTCACTACTGTATATTTTTGTAATTTTATAGGTTATCTCTAAGGACCGAAACAATTGCGATTAATATTAGACACAATAAAGATAACCTAAGTGAGGGAATATTATGTATATTGTATCATATGTATATATACTTGTCACGTCTTATTAACTAGAATTGAAAATCATTTTTATAATTTAGTCAAAAAACTCTTCACTTAACATCTGTCTTCTAGTGTCTGAAAGTTTCTGGGTGAGTGAGTTATTCTCAAGTGCCCTAATGTGAAATAAAAGTTTGCACAAGAATATGGGTTTTTAATTTTTTATCTAAACCTCGTTCCTGAATTCAGGAGTGTTCAAGTTGGAAACATGCTGCAGGATTTTGTTCATTACCGTATATATTGGAGAGGGTGAAATGTGTTTAGCAGTGACATATCACAAAGGCAACACATCACTTAAATAGAATTCAAAAGTAAGTAGTGTATCGAAAAATTAAAGTAAATAGTGGTTGGAAAAAAATATATTCCTAAGTATTTAATCTTTCAGTCAGTGATTTAATAAAAGATTTCTATCCAGTCTTTCATATTATTAATGTGTAAGAAGTAATAAATCATTTTGATCATAGTTATTAATTTGATTTCCAATCAGACTTTAACAAATTAAATGGAAAATCATAAAACTGTATTGAAATGCAATGCTTTATTTCAAAACTAAAACATAAGATCATTGAATTGAACAAGGTTTTGAACCAAACTTGGCATCAATAATTTATTTACAAATGTTGCAAAGTTTGATCTGTATACACATTACTTTGGAGTTGTTGTTGTTTCTTACTCTCAAGACAAAATTTGACTTTTCCCAAAGTAAGGGTTAAACAAAATAAATACAGTCAGTCCAAAAAGATGCACGTCACTTTTTCCTTTGATTCGATTCTTTGGATCGGACTCTAATTTTCTTCCTTTCTCTTTTAACTGTTCTAGGTTGCTCCTCTTTTATCTTTTCACCTCTTTTTTGTTCCTTATTCTTTTCCATCTCAAGGCTTATCTGTCTTGTTTGAAATGTAAGCCATGAGAAGAAAAGGTAGAGCAAGTTAAGTGCAAAGACGGCACCCCAGTTTATCTGCAGAGTGGAATAAAAGATATTATTAATAGAGAGTGGTGATTTTTACAAAACAAAAGCCCTAGTTCCAGATTATTGATCAAATAGAACTAAAAATCAAACAAAAGATGTATTCCAAATAAAACAAATGTTACAAGGAACATACAGATCTTGGACATGAGGGTGGAGGAAAAAAGAACAAAACACCCCTCCAAAAACAATTTACATGCCTAATGAAGTTTTATAGTCAACAGCAACATTACCACATATCGAATTATGTGTTTGTATGGATTAACAATGAAAGAAATTAATACAATGGCAGCGCTTAATTAAATGGCATACTTACAGATTGAATTAAAAGGAGTTTACATTAACAAACAGTAACAAAAATAATTTGGTGGTTTTTTTAATTTAGTCCAGGCAAATTAGATCAAATATAGGGTGTGCTCCCCAAAAAATCGTCTAAAGCTGGAAAGTGTTTTAATGCCTTTTGGGGGTCCCAAATAAGACTCCTTTGAGTTTGCGACGGATTCTAACGTCTGCTTAAGTTTTGGGAGTCGAAAAACTATGAAAATGTTGCACTTTTTTCAGTTTTTCGCTTATAACTCCTAAATAACGAATCCTAAGGAAAATGTTGTTCAAAAGTGTCTTTTAGTGCATTAAATTCCGCTTCAATTGATGCTAAATACGTCAAAATCGGCCAAGCCGTTTAGCCGCTGTAGCTTTTCAAAGTTGGGATATTTTCATCAACATGGCCAAAAGGTTGATTATTTGACCAATTTTCGGCTTACAACTCCTAAACGACGCATGCTATACAAAAATGCACCTGTAGTTAGTTTGGAAAACACATTATTCGGCGTAGAATTATGATTATGAATTATTAGATAGTGGTTTATTCCATGGTTATCATCCAGAGGTTTATCCAAGAATGTGTGAAGGGAAGGGTAGCAAGACCCCCTATGTAATTTTAAATCTAATATTGTTATCTGGGGTTAAAAAAATTCTAGGATTCGTCCTAAGCTCCCATTTATACGATCCCATCTCTGGACACTCCAAAATGGTGTTAAGCGATTTGAATATACAGGGTGACTGAAAAGTAACTTGCACCCCCCTTAACTTTTCAACCATTTGAGATATTTGAAATCTGTTTGTGGCAACCTTCCTAGCTATAAGGGGCCACAATAATTATGGTCAATTTCGAAAATTTTGCCCTTAGGGGTAGTGGGGGTAGGGGGTAGCTGAAAATTTTCAAATGACAATGATAGTCAAGTTTGGTATCATTTTACAGGTCTTGACGAAACATAACAATTAATATAAAGAGAATAAAAATCGGACCATTAATAACAAAATGGCAGTTCAAAATTACTTTTAATAAACATTGTCTTAATCATTTTTAGCTGCCATTTTGTTATTATTGGTTCGATTTCTATTTTCTTTATGTTAATTGTTATGTTTCGTCAAGACCTGTAAAATGATACCAAACTCGACCATACTTGCTATTTAAAAATTTTGAGCTACCCTCTACCCCCACTACCCCTAAGGGCAAAATTTTCGAAACTGACCATAATTATTGTAGCCCTTTATATCCAAACAAGTTGCCGCAAACCAATTTCAAATATCTCAAATAGTTAAAAAGTTAAACGGGGTGTAAGTTAATTTTCAGCCACCCTCATGGTTATTTGGATTTGAAACGTTTTAGGGCGCAATTTTGTTATTAGTGGGCCGATTTTGGTTTTATTTATATCAATTTGTACGTTTCGTCAAGACCTGTAAAATGATACCAAACTCGACTATACTTGTCATTTGAAAAATTTGAGCTACCCCCTACCCCCACTACCCCTAAGGGCAAAATTTTCAAAATTTACCATGATTATTGTGGCCCCTTATAGCTAAGAAGGTTGCCAAAAACAGATTTCAAATATCTCAAATGGTTGAAAAGTTAAGGGGGGTGCAAGTTACTTTTCAGTCACCCTGTATATTCAAATCGCTTAATACCATTTTGGAGTGTCCAGAGATGGGATCGTATAAATGGAAGCTTAGGACAAATCCTAGAATTTTTTTAACCCCAGATAACAATATTAGATTTAAAATTACATAGGGGGTCTTGCTACCCTTCCCTTCACACATTCTTGGATAAACCTCTGGATGATAACCATGGAATAAACCACTATCTAATAATTCATAATCATAATTCTACGCCGAATATTGTGTTTTCCAAACTAACTACAGGTGCATTTTTGTATAGCATGCGTCGTTTAGGAGTTGTAAGCCGAAAATTGGTCAAATAATCAACCTTTTGGCCATGTTGATGAAAATATCCCAACTTTGAAAAGCTACAGCGGCTTAACGGCTTGGCCGATTTTGACGTATTTAGCATCAATTGAAGCGGAATTTAATGTACTAAAAGACACTTCTGAACAACATTTTCCTTAGGATTCGTTATTTAGGAGTTATAAGCGAAAAACTGAAAAAAGTGCAACATTTTCATAGTTTTTCGACTCCCAAAACTTAAGCAGACGTTAGAATCCGTCGCAAACTCAAAGGATTCTTATTTGGGACCCCCAAAAGGCATTAAAACACTTTCCAGCTTTAGACGATTTTTTGGGGAGCATATGTCTAATTTGCCTGGACTAATTGTTTATTTTTGCTGTTAAAAGTTATTAAAATGTCAACCTAAATGAGTAAGCAACATTATAAAATTTAATGAAACATTTGGAAACAATACATTAGACTCCCTCTTATCCGGACACCTTTTGACCGGACATCGGTTTAACCGGACTACACTCTGCGGAAATGGCATCTCTTTAACCGAACAATTTTTATCATCAAATTGGTTTAACCGGACTTGATCGGCAGGAAGTGGACTGAAACGACTGTTCTCGTGGGAAAGATTTGAGACCAGTGATCACGCGTCTAAATACAATGCTCTCCTAAATTTAAGTTGAATATCACAGTAAACGGTCCGTTTTAACGAGTTTTTGGGGTCGTCAGTTTAACCGAAAAACCCGTTATCCGGACTGGCCTCGGTCCCGAGGAGTCCGAATAAGAGGGAGTCTACTGTAGATCTCTGGTTAGGGTGTATCAGTGTCAAACTTTTATCTTAAAAATGCCTTCATTAAGAGTGTGGAGAGTGTTAAATTAAAATATCCTAAACAGCTTACACTTTATGCATAACGAGAGTTTTTAAATTAATATTCCAGATATATTGAATACGCTACGCTACAAACTTGAAACTCTACAGTTATTTTTGTAGTTTAGCTGCTCGATAACCAGGCTCAAATGGGCCACTGGTAGGCCAAATTTAGAAAAAGGCCGGACCATCAAGATGCCATTTAAATCACTTAAAATTTAAATCAGGGTTACCCATTAGTGAATTTGAGACATCCAAAGTTTGAGACAATGCGGTGACAAAAATAATAGGGTAACAATAAATAATTGCAGTTTAGGAGTGATGACCTTAATTATGAGCGGGTGCGAGTGCACGTAAGTGGGTTCCGTGTTTTGTCCCCCAATTTATCAGTAACTTGCCAGTACTGTAGTAGTGCAGTTCGGCATTGCGCATTATTAATTACTGTACCTACTTAATAATAATCGAATGTTAGAAATGATTATCTATCTAATTTCATATTAAATTACTGTACGATTTAGAACTGTTCCATATTGTACTTTACTTAAAGTATGAAATTACATACATACGGTACTATTTCCTTTAGGAATTTAGGATATTATTTTTAGTATTGAGATAGAGCCTGATTACTAGATATTTGGATTATTGAGGGCTGAATAGAAAAATCTAGGTTCTACTGTATTTAAAAAATATGCCCCCAAAACTCTTTTGATCCTGATCAATCAGAACAAAATAGTGGAACAACAAAAATACAACAAAACCAGCAAAAAATCTTGAGGGTAAAAATCACTGAGCTATAATGAGTACCTGGAGGTAGTCCTTCTCAAGTAGTGCTTTGGGAAGGAAATTTGTAACCATGTACATATTTGTAAAATAATTTATGCGATGTATGTTTCATCTTTACCAACAACAATTAATTGGTTTGACTTAAAGCTTAACATAACAAGGGGTTCAATTGAATTCATTAGCTGTTGGTAAAACTGAATGAGGAATAATTGTCCCTCTGGGCAAGATTTACTATTGAACTTCTCCCTATAGGTATTAATTATTACCACAGTTCTTCCAATTGGAGTATTTTTTCAAGTTTCAAATTTTCATTAATTCAAATAGAGAAAAATCACTAAAACTACTTCAATCAAAAAGTTCCCTCAGAAAGTCTAACATTTGGTTTATCTGACATTGTCTGTTCAAAAGTATAAGGACCCTCAAACATTTTATTAAACCTGATTATTGGAAGTAAGCTAGTTTCAGAATTGATTGTTTCATTCTTCTTTTCACATAATTTTTACATCCCATTAATAATAGGATAAAAACAGTCAATTTAACATATTACACTGCATCATTACAAATATCACTCTATTTTCTCTACATGTAGGCCTCAAGTTAAATTATGTTAAAAAAAGAAGAAAAACACAATGATATGTTGCTAAGTTACTCTGCATGAAACTATTTTGCTATAAGGTTACTGTAAAAAATAACTTTAGTAAACAAAATGCAATATTTACATTCATCTTTTGGATGCCCATAATCCGATGTCGAGAGAATGTTGATGTTGATGTTGTTCATTGAATACGATTTCAGATAATGAAAACGCTGATTAGACATGATTAATATTATTTTGTTGAGTGTGAGATAACAAAAATTTATGAACTGTCTAATAATGATGTACCATATACTTACTATATGTCCCTTTTACTGATCAAATAACCTGGATTTGTTTAGCATAAGTTTTACTTAGGGTTGTGTAAACAGATTACCAAAATCAACTTCACTACAGTTAGTATTGAAAAGTTTGAAGAGGAGGCATTACAGGTAGTTCTCAATAGCTGTTTAGTGCTAGCTACTCACTAGCACATATTTAAGCATTATTATTATTACTATGGTACCAAGATTGGATGGTTACCTTGTTTATGATAAACAAATCATGAGTAAAGCATGATTTAATTTATTTAAAAGATAGGAATTTAAATTTTGAAAATAAATCAAGAATTTAAGATTTTTACGAAGATGATGCATTTGACATTGTCAGATATAAAATCTAAATATTTCAATAAATCTTAATATTGGCATGGACAGAGTGCACATTATACTAGTTGGAAGAATAAATACCCCCGCTGCATCAAACCTGCAGACTAAGCGAATTTCCATCTACCTGGCTGGAATTCCACTAAATTATTCCCTTAAAATGATCAGATTTATCTATTTAAATATCATTAATTGTTTATGAGTAATTAGGTTTGCTGCTACTGGGAAGACAATAAGGTGTGTTTGTTATTTAAATATTGATAGCTTAGAATGAAGTAAAAAAATTCCAAATTCCACTAAAATATGTACATAGACAAGCAAGCTACAACAGTTTATTTACTCTCCATAAGAATAACATGCTAATTTTAAATGTAATTTTTTTTTTATTTCTTCCGTAACCGTCAGGCACACAATAACGTTTCAATATAATAAATTATTTTTATTTTTGAGATACAAATTGGTTAGGAAAGAAATTGCATTATTCTATGTTTTTGGGATGAAAAATGGGAAAACCCCATAAACCCTTGTTCCCGTTAGTCCGATCATGCTGGTTCGCAAACTCGTTGGAATGAATGTAGGTTTACACGTTAATACTAAATTTCATCAACTCGAGTTATCGCGCTAACGGACATATATATAAATACTTAATAAATAAATATGAGTTTGAACCGATAGTGTTTTTGGCCTCAGGGGACCTCAAAACGAAAAAGTAAATTGTTCCCGGGTTCAGATCTTACCTACGGTAATAACTCATTCCCTTAATGGGAAATTCGCTAAAAGGAAAAAGCTTATGTTTGTGTTCTAGCATTACTCTAAAACACTTTTAATTATTATCTAAATTTAATGTTAACACTATTCAATCTCTTTCAGTCTTTAGTTAATAAAATTTTTGAATTTACTAACTAAAAACTGTGTGTATTATCTAACTGATTTACTGTACAGTTAAGTTATGTACAGTTAGCTGCCTAGAATCGCGAAAAACGAGTAAAATCTTTCAGAACAAAACGCACAGGTGGAATTATTTCTAGTTGAGAAACTCCTAAAAACAACAATTACAAAAAATTGTTATTAATGTTAACTGTAAGTGAATTCGAAACAGAGAGACATTGACCTAGGACCCAATATAACTTCAACAACTAATGGCATGGTTAATTATTTTTAACATTAATCGATCTGTTAAGCTAGGGAACCTTCTTAAATAAAGGAACTTCCGTTTTCGTGAATTAGATAGTATGTATTTTAATTTCAATAGTCTATAGAACAGGAAACAACAGGAAAATCAAATAGTAAAACTTTATAGAAATGTTGTAATTTTGGTATTTTTATAAAACATTTACAAGCAATATACATAATGTGCATGAGTTCGTTTCTTCAATTCTCAACAAATAATTTATAAATTATTATTAAATTAATCGTTAAGAACTATCATTAATATGTTTTGTATTAAAAAGATCTTTAGACAGTAATTTAGTTAAAGTTGTTACATTCAATGTTATTTTCCGCAATACGACTGTGATTTTGAAATATCTAACACAACCAAATAAATACTTGTCACAATGGGTGATTTAAGTATTGAATATTTTGTGAGTAAAATAACACTAACTGGTTTAAATCGCTGGTACTGAATTAAATTAAATATAATTACAAGGTTACTTTAAAACATACTTAATCTGTGATTTTCAACACTTCAAAAGTCATATAAATTAGGATAACCATAAAAAATCTAAAGGATTAATGAATGTTTTTACATTAGCAGGACAGTTTATGAAAATGATATTTACTGTTTACAGCAGTTATTCAAAATGATTTGACACACTTAATCTGCAAACAAAAGAAAACTGAACTTGTATAGGATAAAAACTGTTTTATGTTGTAAAGAAACAACAAATAAATGGTTTATTTCATTTTAATCTAATATACAAACATAGTACATGAAAATGGAGCAGAGATCATTATTTGTTATCTTCTATTTCTACTATACTGATTCATAAGTCTCTACTCCTGCCTTGTTTTTGTTGTTTTTAAAGGCCCACACAGAGAAATCACTAGGACAAGTTTCTGTTAATAATACTAGTATAATACAAAATGGCTACAGAGGACTATGGAAAACCGCCCTCAAATCACAGAGTTTAACCTTAAAATTATGTTATTAACACAAAGAAATAAATATTAACTTAACTAACAATAATTGTTTTAAGGCCAATAAGTACAATTAGCGCTCTGGACAGTAATACAAGACAACTATAAATCTAGAAGTTGTGATAATTAAAAGTTGAAAGTTTAAACGTAGGAACAGGCATTGTACACTGATAATACTATTATGTCTTTTGTTGCTGATATTCACAGACTCAATGACGAGTTCACTAAATAACAATAGGAAAGACGCAATTTTATTCTGTCATACATTGAAAACTTCACAACTGACTCGTAACAATTAACATAATTTTTACATAAAATACCGAATTACAATTGATCAACAATAATCACATAATAACAAATTAAAATTAGCATAATGGAATAATTTAGTAAACAAATTACATTCGTAGAATAGTTTTTTAAACCAACGTTAAACATTCACAAGTCAACATCAGGATAGTAATTAAATTTGTCTTAACTATTTTTGATTTAAACAAGAAAATGAGCCATTCAGGACAATTTGAAATGTTTAATTGAGGAACTAGGTTCTACATGTTCTGGGTTAGTGTTACTGTACTAATCTTTCTAAACCAAAACTTAAACTCTGACAAAAGTAAATCCTAGCAAACCACTAATATTGGAAAAGGCTTATTCCCTGAGAATTAAGGAGACAAAGGACAGGATAGGCAGGCTTACCTTAAACATTTTAGGCATCCCATTTCACTACAATAACACAAAAGAAAACACAAAGGAATCACTGAATATTTCGAACCCACTGGCTCCTTTCTCAACATTAGATTCTGGAATGCTTCTAGACTACTATCTTTGTATTTAATTTTTTTTTTTTAATAGTTATTTTGTGTGTATACTTATTGTGGAATGGGAATAAAACTTATTTGATTTGATTTGGAAGAATCTAATATGACTCTCAGTGGCCTCGAAATATTCAGTGTTTCCTTTGTGTTTTCTTTTAGGTGACTGTAGTGAAGATACCTACAATTGTTAAGGTCAGCCTGCCTATTCTTTCCTTCGTCTCCTTATTAGCCCAGGCACTTTAGGTAAAAATATAACAAATTAATAACTAGCTGATTTTTTGTGTGGTGATAGTATGTTAATTAGGTAAGTATTTCCTGAAAGTTCCCCTCACTTCCTACGCTTGCTTCACCCGGTACAGGTTTAGATATGGTCTAAGTGATGTAATAATACAAAAATCTTTATTGATTGACACCAATGTCACAAATTTTAGTGGTTTTAGTCTTAAATCATTCAGAATGAAAGTGGTCATACTAAATTATTACCACAACTATATTTCATAGAACTTAAAGGCGGTTTTATTTTATATATTTTTTATTTTTATAGTAAATTTTAGGTTTTTAAGTGTTTTTGCTGAGATTTTCAGTACTCTTGATATAGTAGAGTCTCCTTCTCTTAAGAAGTTGGAGATGTTTTTGACTGCCCAGAATAAAATAAAACTAAAACCAGACTAAAACCACTAAAATCGGTGACATTGGTGTCAATCAATAAAGATTTTTGTGTTTTTACATCACTTAGACCCTTTCTAGCCCTGTACCGGGGGAAACAAGCGGAGGAAGTGAGGGGAACTTTCAGGAAATACTTACCTAATAACATACTAAAAGCACACCAAAAATCAGCTAGTTATTAATTGGTTCTATTTGAGGGGATTATTTTGTCTAAAATTCCTGGGCTATATAGGTTTGACATGATTTGAGACCTGATCCAAGTTTTAAATAAAATTTTAAACATTGTGATAATTAAAGTTTGAAATAGCTTTTGGAATTTATATTTAGTAGAACTTAATTCTATCTTAAATGAATTGTCTGAATGGCTCTTTTGAAATAATCGACAGCAAATCATGAATCATAAATAGGTATTTCCCATTATTTATTGAAACTTTAAAGATTAAATCATTAAATCATCATAAACATGTCTAACTTTGAAAAAAAAAAATCATTTAAGAAGTAACATTAACATGCTCAAATTAGTAAATTCAACTACTTAAAATTAAATAACAATAATTATGTTGTAATGCTTTTAGCAATCTAGCTATTCACTTGATATGAATTAACATTGGAAAAAACATAAGATTAAAATAGCTAAGGGAATTCACATTTTAAATGTAACCGCTTTTGCTATATCTGTCTTACAGACTGATAAATACGAAAATCAATTCCTAAGATAAAGACATTTATTTTCTACACATTAAAACAGTACAAAATAAGTTATACCCACGATTAATTATTAAGACGTAAAATTCTTTTCTTTCATGCAACTAGAATTGTGATAACTGCACGTATAAACACAGTCATTCGTATTAAAAACACTAAATTTTCTACTGTTGTCTAATTTACCTATCAAGCGATCGACAAATCGTAAAATGAGCATGTTCTTACTATAGTTCTTATCGTAAGCAAGGACCACAGACATAATCATCACATCTAGAATACTCGATACTAACATTCTATAAACAATTAAACCTAGTTTTGGCATTCAAACTCGTAGAAAGTATTCTGACGGAACGATTCAATTTTTTGGTTCTGACATTTTCTGCTGAACCATAGATATTAGAATGTCTGAGCATTGTTGCACCATGGACACCACTTCACTGTTACTCGCTGAGTCGCTTGGGAGAGAGTCCAGTGCCTCTTGTATCTTATTCGTCATCGCAGCTTTGCTTAGAGATTTTATGTACTCCTGAATAGCTTCCTGGAAGCTGTTTTTCCAAATGCTCCGTTCAGACATGTCTACTGTTTCATCAGCTAGCCGTCGTTGCATTTGGTTCATGAACTCCAAGATCATTGATTGTTGATTGTCTAGAAGCTCCTTCATGTTGTCTAACAGTTGTGGCACTGTAAACAAATGACATTGCAACTGATTAAGACAAACTGCATAATATAAAGTTATCGTATCTTGTCAGTTTTAAGCTTTTTTGAATTTTGAATGGATTACCATTAGTTTTGGGTAAAACCATTCATTATTAAATCTTACATAAAATTTAAGAAAGTTTATATTGGTACTCTCTTCAATCTGTTTACGGATTAAGACTAGTAATCGATGGACTACTCAAAAAGGCTAAAGATGGACAAGGTACCTTTATTCATTATTTATTCATTAACTTGCTACAGGACATACAAAGTCTGTTAAAAAAGTATTGGACCTTACTTTTTACCTAGTAATCCGACAGCCCCATTGAGCTACACCCTGGCGCATAAATCGAGGCAACTGTAAAGCACGTCACGTGACTTTGACATGGTGTCAGTTTGTTGTCGACCTTCAAACGTGAAACTGTGATTGTCATGTTTTTGTGCTAAGCAAAATGAAAAAACGGGTGCCGGTTATCGTCATTGTCCGCAATCTCGGCAAAATCATGAACATTTCTCACAGCCGTGAAGACGTCATTATTGTCTATCATTGTCTTCAATTGAATTTAATAAATTGATCAGCCTAAACTGTGAACAACTTTGTATCGATCCCTGGATTTTTCTCGGCTCTTTTTGAGCACTTGGAGGAAGAAATTTGAGTGTGGCTGGTTCTAGGGGTAGGCCTAGCCTGACTTTGTGAAAACTAGTGTACCCCCCCCCCCTAGAATTTTACGTCACATGGACCTTACTACGACCGGTTGAATGCTAATAAAGTAGGCCTACTTTTTTAAAGGAAGTGACGTAAGAAGTGTACTTTTTACCTGGTGTGTTATCAAAATCAACATTATAAGCTGCCTTGGAGGAGGCATCTTCTAGGTTGGATGTGGATCGCACCATGCCTGATGCACTACGGACTGGCTTGTTGAGTGTGCGGGAGGCTAGACGTTGTGAGTGAGCAAGGTCTCTTTCAGATCCACTCCTTCCTAGGCCAGAAGCAGGCGCAACACGACGACTCATCGCTGTCCTGTAAACATGTGGTGTTGTTTATAACACTAGAACTATCTATCAGTAACCCTTAGGTTCAGTCAAGTTAGGTTCAGGTCTGCTAGTCAAAATAATTTTTAAATATATCAATTTTTTTATGGCAACCGGAGCGACAGATAAAATTACACTGCCAGAGATTTTGCTTGTGCTGGAAAGTAGCATCTTCAGTAACCAGAAAACCGAGGTTGTCGCTTTGCATAGTGAAACGTTGAAGTGAATTTCACCCACTCAAGACATTGGCTGCGGATGTGAAAATTAACTAAGGTCCAAATGTATATTGACGAGCTATTAAAGAATAGAATGGCATTGTTAATAAATTGTCCTGTTTTCATGAACTTTTTGGTTTGACAAGACAACGACTAGTCACAAAAATCAGGTTTTTTTAACTAATACAGCAATTCAATACAATATCTGATATTGCTTTTGGTTAGTGATGGGACGGTACTTAACGTCAAATGTTGGTTCCACCAGTTCTTGGGAAAAGTACCGGGACCGAGAATCGATGGTGAAATGTCGGTACCAATACCTTCGGTACTAAGTTAATTGGTTATATTTTTTTCCTACAGTTACCTAACAATGTACATGTTCTCTCACTGATTTGAGAAAGCAAAGTGGCCAATTCGCTCATCAGTGAGACAATGTTAACATTGTCTCACTCTAATTACTTTGTCTCACTCCAGATTTGCAACGTGAAGGCACGAAATAGTGAGCGCGTAACATGCAGGCAACGTCGTGTGCACGCGAAATACGTTGGCAGCACTGGCTGTAAATCAGCTGGTCAACTGTTGTACTGTTGTATTTGACACTTCACATTAAATGTTATATTAAAAGTTCACTTCTGTGTAAAAATAGGTTATGTTTGAAGAAACATAAGACCAATTTATTTGTTTTATGGTAACTGTAGGAAAAGTATAATGTGCAACTCGAGTTCAAAGTACAATTGCCTCACTCGAGAAACCATTCCTCACTCGCCTACGGCTCGTGAGTAAGGATTTCTCTCGAGTGAGTCAATTGTTCACTTTTCTCACTAGTTGCACAAATAACTATTATTTACTCATTAAAAAAAATCAAATTGTCAACCATGATGATTATTTTTCACTTAAGGCTATTTGAAACGTCATATTTACCATGAAATATTATCAATAATAGGCTATATGATGATTATTTCAGTGTTAGTTGGTTAACTTATCATCACTATAGTCAGCTGATAGAGTGGTGCAAACATCGACTGCAATTACAGTACTCCACCATCTTCAAGCAGAAGGCAGAAGGCAAGCTTAATAAAGACTGGATCAATTAAATGGTTTATTTGTTCGCAAGAAAATTATTACACTACCTTAATACCATCCTTTCCTTATCTGAGGTAGATTAATAATAGTTACAGGATTATTTTATTTAATTCATGCTGTTCTTTATCTTTATTGTACTTTGTTTTGCACGAACTATGGAAATTCAGAAGCAACATAAATAGCGCTGAATGTACGACTCGAACCTCAAACTCAATCCAGTTCACTCTAACTGTTTGACTCAGTCCAGTCCAGTCAGTGGCTGAATTCATATTTTTAAGCCCAATGGTTAAATGTTGGGTTATTCATGATATCATATTGCATTCGATCTGTAACCACCGTGACAAATGGCAACACTGCGCGTTGCGTAAGACTACTATTTCAAATTTCAAGTTCAACGGTAAAATTTATTTATTGATGGATGAAACTACATGGCTAAATGACAAACAGCAAAGCCTTCATTCAGCAAACCAAAAAGGGCTTTTATTTGTTATTGTTTGTATGCTTTGTTAGGTGGGTACTAAATTTGGTTGTCTTTCTCTTTCTGGAGCGAGGTGAGAAAGTTTAAATGTACTTTAACGTCATCTGTCGCCTGTCAAGTTTATATGAAATTGAAGAATGAGCCTTTGTTTTTGTCGGATTTCTTAAATAATTTATATGTTGATGTGAATAATTAAACTTGTTTTTTTTCTGTAAATAAAAAGTGAAAGTGGATTAGTTTATTTAAGGAATGTAGGGCTACCACAAGGTGTACTTCGCAAGTTTGGAAGTATTTTAAAATTAATAAAGCAAACAACAGATTTTCGAAATGCATCATATTATTTAATTGGCTTATCTCCAGAGCTGGGGGGTCTAAAAGGACTTTTAACCTAATGAAATACCTAAAAACCCACAATACTGGTACAGGCACTAGGCCTACAAAAAACCCATTACAGTCACCAAACTAAGCCTTTAATTTTTTTTTCATCAAGCCGTGCAGGTTAAACTAAGTTATAACCTCAAATGAATATGTAGACCTATTTTCTAAAAATGTTTGTTCAAAATGTCAAAATCCATAAATACTTTTGTTCTAAATTTTCCTTAATACTGGAGGCTTAAATTCATTTATTTATTTACCAATGGCAATACACCAATTTACAAAGATTATAATGGTTTGACAGCTACAACAGTGATTGTTTGTGTTTTGTGCTAGGCACTAACGATAATAAACAATGGAAAAAAATAACAATAATAGAAATGAAACGAGTAACAATAATAAACAATGAAATGAATAACAATAATAAAACATTGAATGGACAACAATAATAATGATTTGAAGTAACATACAACATGATCAATAACAGCACCAACAGTGAAATGTTATTAAATATAAAATCAACTTAATGCAGGCTATAGGTACAAAATGACTCAAAATGATTTCCTTCTAAATATTTAGTTACGCCTAGAACTTAACAGGCAGTTAACTTAATTTAACAAATTTCCAGAGCCACTTTTCTTTCCAAGGTTAGTAGCCTATGTTAAATCTATTGGTTTAGCAGTGAATAATTTCAACAAATAGGCTTATATTTAACACTTCTGGAATGGTATATATTGTTTTGATTTAAATGAGTTAGGTGGATAAATTGTTTTTTGTACTAATAGGCCTTAGTTTTATTTTCTTAACCCCTTAATATAACAAAACTACACTAATGAAAAATAATCAGTTTTGAAAATTGAAATAGAGATAGGCCTACTGTATTTTGTTTAAAAAATAAAACAATGAAGTAGGCCAAGCCTTATTTAAAAATAGGTACCTATGGTACCGGAACCGAGAATTGAGAATAATTTGGTTAGAAACCGGTACTGGTACTGACATTGAAAAAGGGGTACCGACCCATCACTACTTTTGGTGTAAATAGATATAGGAAAATTATGTATCTATGTGTACAAGTGTGAGTAATTTTGTATCTATTTTGTCAAGTATGCGACTTGACAAATTGGTTTTGGATAAAGGGTGTAATGCGGTGGAGCTCTTTAAATTTAAATCGTAAAACAAATTACATGGTGACACACAACATGCTGACAAACTAACATTACAATTGAGTAAGAAATAATTTAAATTTTTAATAATGAGAGTACGGTACTAAAGCGTCAAAGCTTACCCTGAGCGGTCTGTGCTTGAACTCCTTTGCTGTGGTAGGCAATTGTTCTTGCCTTCTTCAGAACTTGAATCTTCATTGTCAGGTTTATTTAAGGCCACTGTAACAAAACAAGTACTGTACACTTTTAGTTAAAATGGTATATTTTTGGATGTTTGGAAAAGCAATATTTCCAATACAGGGTGTCCACCAGGCCAAAAAGAAAAAAATCATGAGTAATTCCAGGTAGTTCAAGTAGTACTTTTCATACCAACCTTACCAATGCAGTTTTGCTAAAATGAGTGTTAAACTGAAATGAACAGAGATATTTAGTGACTTTTTTCATTCACCACATCCAGGTCAGCTCAATCGGCCTTAAAATTTGTTGTCCTGATCTTTATGATTGATTTCAAATATTCGTCTAACTTGGAAGATCTGTATTTAGATTGCTCTATCACTAGGCCATGCTTAAAGCTTATGGTCTCTTTTGAAAAAAAAACAACAACAAAAAATGTAGCAAGTGAGAGAAGTGTACTTTATACATATTAAACAGTGTGTCCAGCCAACCTGGCACCGAGTATTGGACTTAAATTTGGTATAGACCAGGGATTAGCCTAGAATGATCACTAATAGCCAAATAAGCCTGAATTGATTGACGGCGTTTCATTGGTTCTCTTTTAACATCACAAGTAGCGATATTGGAGATTATCCACTATCCAGTATTACTGTTAGAGCAAGAGATGTTCAGATTGAAGTCGCGATTATGGTATCACCGAGATCGAAAAATATACTCACGAGTGTTGCCGCGGTTGCAAGTGACAATCACGGTATTGCCAAGACCAGACATTTACTAATTTACTCGAGTGTTGCTGCGATCGCGAGTGAAAATTACGGTATCGCCAAAACCGCAAAATATACTTACAACTGTTGTCATGACCGTGAGTGATGATCACGGTATCGCCGAAGACCGCAACATTTACCTTCCAGTGTAGCCACGGTTATGAGTGACGATTGTAACATATACTAATGAGTGTTGCCATGACCGTGAGTGATGATCAAGGTATCGCCGAGACTGAAATAGACACACAGGTGTTGCCGCGATCGCGAGTGACAATTATGGTTTTGCAGAGACCGGAAAATACGCTCTCAAGTCTTGCCGCAACTTTAGCAATCATCTGTGTATATTCTGGCAAAATATTTTTTGCCTATTTATGGCTGACTCTTACAAAATCAGAAACTGTGAAGAAACACAATAATGGACATGCGGATATAAATGAAGGTGGGAGACGAGCATAATCAGTCTAGTATTATAATCTTCCATGAGAGTTAATGCTGCATCTTAAATTTAAGTATGTCTGTGTGTTAAATAGAAAAACAAATAGCCTTCAAAAATGTTAGAGGCGTGACTTAACAATTTTTTTTATTTCTAATGGGTGTTACAACGTGATAATGTGTCAACTTTGTTAATTCTTAGCCTAAGATTATTAAAACAAAAATTGTACAAAAAATATGTTTTTAAAATCTTGTTTGGTTCTTTTAAGTAGTATCTTTATTATTTATTGATTTATACAATTTGTCCTGCACTAAAATTGTATGTACTCCTCAGGAGTACATCCAGATTTTATTTACAGTCTAAACTTATTGTACTGGTATGCGGTTACCTACTGTCCTGCCCCCAAAATCAAGGGAAGAAACCGTTTCCATTTTTGTTCCTCCTTTAAAGTCAGAATTGCTGTCCCGCATATTTTCTAAACAATTTAATCAAAATTACATTGATTTGGACTCTTCAATCATGGCCAGGGTATCAAGTTTATTTCCACTTTACAATTCAAGACTAATTCCAGACTTTTCAAGACTAATTCCAATTCCAGATTTTTCAAGACTAGTTTTTTCCAATAAATAGTGAGTGTCGATACCAAAATGTATCAATTCTCGTTTCTTGATACCAATAACAATTTTTATTTAAGGTTTAACCAAATTTCCTAAATAATTTGGTTGTACTACACACACCCTATAAAGTATTATTAAGATAATGATTTTAAAGTAAAAACAAAATGCAGCAATGAACAATTCTAGCCAGCAAATTAGGGTTTTTTAAAATCATGAAATCTTCAGCAGACGTGTAGACATCATCCCGCGCTACACACAGCTTCTGCGGTTTCGAAAACGTAATCATCGTCGTCTGCAATCGCAGCAAAATCATGAATATTTTTCCGCGGCACTTTAGACATTGTTGTCGTTTCCCGCGGTCACGGCAACGTCATCATCGTCGTCTGCGATCGTGGCAAAATCATGAACATTTCCCGCGGCCGTGTAGACAACATCCGTCGTGTCCCGTGGTCACAGAAATGTCATCGTCGTCGTCCGCAATCGTGGTAAAATTATGATCATTTACTGGGGCCGTGTAGATATCATCATTGACTCCCTCGGACACAGATCGCGCAGTCACGGAAGCGTCATCGTCGACGTCCGCGATCGCGGTAAAATCATGAACATTTCCCGCAGCCATGAAGAAATCATCGTCGTGTCCCGAGATCATGGAAATGTCATCATCGTCGTCTTCGATCGTAGAAAAAAAACATGAAAATTTCCCGCAGCCGTGAAGAGATCATCGTCGTGGCCCGTGGTCACGGAAACAACATCGTTGTCGTCCATGATTGCGTCAAAATGATACTCTTGTCGGGAAAGACTAAATCCCGACTTTTTAATACCATTTTGAAATTCAATACTAATTCCAGATTTTCCCGACTACTTGACACCTTGATGGACACTTTTTGTTACCATATGAGATGGCCTTAAACCGGGAGGATTAAATGAAGAGTATGTTTCTTCCCCAAGAAATAAAATCAGTTTGAAAAAAGAATCCAATTTGATCCCGAAAATTGTAGTGGAATTTAATTCTACTTACTACTGGAGTAGGAGGAGGTCATGCCTCTACGACGGTTGAGAGTGCTGCTCTTCTGACCAGAGATGGCTTTGTTGAGTGATGAAATGGTCGGTCGCATGACTCGCCTCACACTCTGACTGTGACTCTGCTCACTCTCCGAGTCACTCTGGAACAACAAGAGTAGGCCATAGTTCAAGAAAATGGAAGCTAACTGAAGGTTAAGAATGCACAAACTGCTTATGGTAAGTCTAACATTTGGATACTTAAGTAGGCGTCCCATATATACAGAGTTATACAAATATATGGGTAGCCCCTCTAAACTTTTCAATGGGTTACACCAGGAAAACTAACCTCAGTAATTTATACAGCATAAAAATTCATTTTTGGTGGGCATCAAAATTTTGCCCAGAACCCCAAAATGAGATATTTTGGGGGCAGCTCAAAATTGTAAATGTATGATAGATAATCTGTAATCAGGTAATCGAATGACACCTGGCGTTATCTGGCCAAATCCAAAAATGGGAATTTTGGGGGCAGCTTAAAAATTGTAAATGTAAAGATGATCGAGTGACACATAGTATTATTCTGTCATTATTATAACAAAATATTAAATTAAGGACAATGAGATTATTTTTAGAAAAATAACAACATTGGTTGATCAAAAGACATCACAGTTTTATCTTAAAAATCCTTTGATGTGATATTTGACACTTTTTAATTAATTTTCTAATCAATGGATCACTCACCTGGTTGAGTGTGCCGACTGAGGTACTTCTTGTGATGGTGGATGAGGGTTTGGCCCCCGTATGTCTAGACGAGTTTCTTGTGTTCCTTACATTAATTGATTTCCCAGTTGCCACTAGGAATCATACAAAGATATTAAACTAAACAATAAAACCTTATAAACGTAAGTTACAGGTGGAAAGTGAATACAATTGTTTTGTTACATAGCAACATTGAGCAACATTAGTTTGGTTATTTTTTATGGCCTTGTGGTTGACAAGTTAAGAGTTTTCCCCCCAACTAAAATCAAATCTATTAACAGTCAAGGATCAGTTTGTTAATATTGGATTAGGATTGGATACAGTCTAAGATGAAAAGTTATTAATTTAGAAAATAAAATTGTGACAGATGACCAGATTTCTTGTTTATTAAATATTCAGCTTAATGTGACCTAAAAACTGCAATACTTGATACTTGCGAACCTGATTTCTTACATACTCTACTTACACAATACAATGTGTATAAAATACCTGATTGTGAAGGTTGTACTGTTCGTAACTTGGAAGGAGTGTTGGACAAATCACTCAGTGAGCAAGCTCTTCGGATTCCTCCACTACCATCTGCATCAATAACTACCAAACAACATGCAAACAAGTCAACAACAACATCAACAAAAACCACAACAAAAACAACAAGGGAACACAATGCAATATTTATTAAAATAAAAAAGTAAATACAGTTTACAAAATTTTCCTCAATTAATTGTTATTACGATACAGTGAACCTGTAGGCTCATAAAATTTAAATTTTCCTTAACAGACTGTTGTAGGAAGATGAATTTTCACCGAATTTTAGTGATTTGGTGTCATTAGATAAAGTTTAGGTTTATCGTGAAAACACGAATCAAGGACTGTATGTCGAATTGATGTATGATAACATAAAAAAAAAAATCTTTGGAGAGTCTTTTAGAGTTCATATTTTTTATCAATTAACACAGACAAAGCAAATGAAATAACTAGTTTTGTATCTTTAGTACATAAATATGTTGGTATTTTTTCAAATAAGTTATGGAAATCTGTTATTTGATATATGGTCACAACAACTTAACGGAAAAAACTGATTTTAATATTGGTCTCTTTATAAAACGTGGCCAAATACTTTCTTTCTAGGTGGTTCACTCATTACTTTGCTCGAATATCAGACGATGATCCTATTAAAAATACAAGATTAATTTTGATTGAAAATTTGTATACACAACATTAAATTATATTGTACTTCACTTATAAAGTAATGCAAAAAATATGTCACGTTCATCTTCATAAAATTATAATTGATTATAAAATCAAAATATAATATTTTATTTTTGAAATACATAGGTCACAATGAGGAAAAACTAAATTAAAAGATGTACAAATCTAACTTTAAGGAGTGCTAAACATAAAAATCCACACAGTGAAAAAGAAACAGTGAAAATAACTAAAGGTAATAATAAAAAAACAACACAGAAATAAAAAAAAACTGTTTATTGTAAACTGTTACAGTACAAAATAAAATTATATAACACAAATAATTATACAACAATTAAAAATTATACTCAGGAAAAGGTATGGATCATTACAATAATCAGAGAATAGAAATAAATTATGGAAGATTTTTCTAAGAACAATCTTAATAATAGTTTTGTTAAATCCGGAAAATAAGAAAATAATTATTTGATGGCAGTGTAGACGTCATCATCGACTTTCGCGGTCACGGAAACGCCGTTGTCGTCGTCCCCAGTCACGGGAAAATCATGAACATTTCCGGCGCCCGTGTGGACATCATCATTGTCTGTTGCGGTTAAGAAAACGTCATCATAGTCTTCTGCGATCGGGGCAAATGTGCGTTTAACAATTGCAATCTTCTAACGGGGCTAAAATAAAAATCCCGGAATCGCTCCAAAAATCCCGACTTTCCCAGGTCCCTTCAAATTCAAGGTTTTTTCCCAGTTCTCCCGGTTTTCCCGGCTGGTATACACCCTGAATTTTGATCACATTTTCTAAATTCATTTATTTCATACTAAGCTAGTAATATTTCAATGAAAACACACTTTATTACACACCCTGTAGCGGCAAACCTAAGTACTCGTTCAACTTCATAATAAACCTATGGTTTTTTAAACAGTGAGTAAATCTGACATTTTAAAGAGGAAATTCTAGTGAATATCCAATCAGGCTCATGGAAATTCACTTAGTCTGCAGGTTTGCTGCGGTGGGGTTGTTTACAATTTTAAATGGCACATTTCCTAACCTTTAGAAGTTTTTAAAGAAGAAAGCATCATTAAAAAGGACCAAAACTTCAAATTTTTTTCAAATACTTTTTAAATCGTACTAATAGTCATACACCGTAATTTCTGTAGTGGAACAAAGATTTACTTAATGAATGGTTTTGTTAAAAAGGTAAAATTATTTTTCTTATTTTCTGAATTATTGTGATTGTTGTTTGGTAGAATAACCCTCATTGACAAAAGATTGATATAGTTATTTTCCTGTATGAATACTGAATTTAAGGACAACTAAATAAATAATACAACACCAAAACTCAAAATACATAAAATAAATAAATAAATAAAAATATGAGATTGCTATTAAACAAAAATAATACATACAATCCATTTTCTGTTTCCAAAATACAATCAGACATGCTACATGAAACTTTAACTTCAAAATAAATAAAAGAAAAACAACTGCCAAATATATGTGATCAGCCTTAAACTAAATTTTATTTCTTTTAACCAACTTAGTGTTAAGGTATAGTCCATTTACTGCTATTTTTTTAATATAGCAGTTTTTTCTCTGGGCTATATTAGTAATAATTCATGTTGAAATAAAGATTTATATAAATAGTGTAATGGTAGGACAAAATTGATGCAATGGTAGAATTTAGAAAAACAAATTACAAGATCTCCAGACCTAGGTTAAGACAGTTTAAAATCAATAATTATAAAATAGTTCCAGTAATTGATTAAACAAACACGATAATATATAAAAAAGAAAGTATCAAGTTGTAAAATGTAACAGCTTTGTTAGGAATAATAAGTTTTTATAGGCCTACAGATGTTTGAGTGTTTTATTTATGTGTTAGTTATATAGCCTTAATTATAATTCAAGGCTGATCAGCAAAACTGAAGCAACGAGGCACAAATATAACCATGTTCTAATGTCATACCTGAATTGCATTTGGATGGCAGGATATTGTTATTTTTCAGTCGTTTTGCAAGTTGATTGGTTAGGCGCTTAGGCGAGTTGGTACAAGATGAAGATGTGGCAGGGGTGGATGATCCAGAGTCATATCCCAGTGGAGCAATTGAGTTATCTTCTCCGGATATTGCTCCTTCATCTTGAACATTCCTGATGGATATCCTTTCAAAATTTTGTGATAATAATTTAACATTTGGCATTCTTGGACGTAGTTTACCTCCATCGGATTGAGTTTTTGTCAGATTTATTGGGTTAACATTCTTGCCTTCATAGATGCAATTCCTCTTGGCTTCGCTCATTTTTTGCATTTCTTCCAGGGTCTTATTATCAACTGAGGACATAATGACTTTTTTGCACATTGAGGATGTATCGTTTTTATCATTTGAAAGATTGGATGAATTGTTAAGATCACATGTTTTAGCACAAGAAATATCATCAATTATTACTTCTTTAACTATAAATTCTAAAGGTTTCAATTCCCTGCAGACTATATCATCATTTTGTTTGTGATGGATGTGTTGTAGGCTCATACTCTTTACAGGTTTTCCATTGGAGAAATTGTTGTGAAAGTCTTCTCTCATGGAGTTCAGGCCAGGGTCTTTGCTGTCGTTATCTGACTGCCATACACGTTTCATATCCTCATCCTTCTTCCATATTGCAGCCCGAGCTTTGACTGCTTCGATTTGTTTACCAACAGTATTCACTGGCACCTTCTGCCAGCTTTTGCGCTGTGATTTATTGGGTTTCTGATGAGGTTTTGGGGGTTTATGAGCAACTATAGGATATGTATCAGGTTGACAAGAGCTCGACGATTCTTTACTTTGAAATCTTTTTGCTATGATATCAGGCAATGTTTTTACACATTCACCTCCCATTGGAATAAAGAAAAACTCGGGTTTTGGCTTACCATCTTTTGCGCAGTTAGTAGTTGAATTTGAATAGAATGATTCAGTTCGCTCACCGAAGTTTTCATCTGCTTTGAATTCAGATGAATCTTGAAGACTTCTAGTTCTAAAAACTGGTTGTTTTTCAATGTCTTTGGGAATATCTTTAGAAACAGAATCAGAAATGTCAGTAAGAATACTTTCTGTGCTGTGAAATTCTTCTTTATCCTTATTTGTGAACAAATACTGATACTCACTTTCATCAGTCAATATACTCTCTGTGCTTCGACAAGCTTCTTTGCACCGCAAGAAAAAACTAGCACTGCTATGACGGCCATTGAGCTCATCATTGTTATCATCCATCATTTCCTCGTCACCAGCTAAAATATTTTCTTCACTATGAAACTTTGTTTTTTCTCCTTGTTGAATAATACCATGGCTGAATATCTGATACTCACTTACACACCTTCTTGGAAGTTTATTGGATGAAAATTCTGCACAGCTTTCCAACGAGTCTGAACTGAAATCACTCAAATCAGATTTCTGCTCATCAACCGACATTACTGCACTTTGTCCGACTTCACTTAGCGATTCTAGGGATATACAATCTTCCTTGGACTCTAAATTATATTCAGACTTAATATCTATAAAAAAACCACACGAGTGCCTCTTAGCTCTAATATCAGAAGATTTCACAAACTCGGGTGAACAAAATGGAGGAGACAGATCGTCAAAAACAGGGGACTCTGGTAGAGATAGGTTAGTTGTGCGGTTAGACTTACGGAAAGTATTGCCTATGGAAAAATCAGTCGATAGATTAAGAGAAAATGGGCGTTTGTTAGAGCTAGGGTTAGTTTTGTTAGTAGAAGATTTCTTGTAAGAATGTGGCAGAGTGTTAAATTCTTTCTGTTTACCTATATTTGGAACTTGAAAAGAAGGTTTTAAAGAAGACATTTTTCTTGAGTCGTGATAACTCATTCCTCTTGGACTAAGGTCTTGTATACTTTGACTTGATTCTAAATTTGACCGATAGCCAACCTGAAATTAGAAAAGAAACAATAGTAAGGCCCAACACATTTACAATATTGTTGTATGTATTAAATAGAGATTATAACGAATTCAATATGCATGCAAAATATTTATTTTCTAATATAAATAAATTTCATTTATTTAAATCTCAATACCAAGGCTTTGACCTTTCTGTAGTAAAAACTTGTCAATATATATATATATATTTTAGAGCACATAATTTTTTTAGCTCTAAACATACATACAAGTCATCTATCATTATTCTCGGCTGTTACAACCCGGGCAATGTCTTAGGACATGTTCATTGGCAGAAACAACAACACCAATAATTGACATGCGCCTTCTCTGTGATGAGAGAGCTAGATCAGGATTTTTCCTGTGGGACTAAAATCCAGCCAATGATTTGTGTATTGAACTACTATCCTTATGAACATTAAAAGGAGGGTTAAATTGACTCAATAAATAACCTAGATGAACATCTTTAACTCGAGTCAGAGAGATATATTTGATTTCGTAACAACAGGATTGATGTTTCTTCAAATTGTTTTAGCCTTCTTAATAGGTTTTAACCAATTTACAAAAATATATTTTTACTTTGCCAAAGATATTTTAGATCACATGTGGTTGGTAACCATACACATTATAATCTACTTTAACAAGTTACAATGGTGACTTTTCTAGAACTTCTAAGAGATACTTTAGATTGTTTAACATCTAGAATCTAGAATCGAGAATCAAGAGATGTATTGTCATTGACCTTTTACAAGGAATAGATATAGTCAACAATATAAATAAAAACTAAAGCTATAAAAAACAGTGGGTTCTAAATTAAAAATTAATATTAACATCAGCAACTAAATACTCTGTTATACAGTAATATGGCTTTTGGATGAGCCCCTCAAACATTTTAGACTTAAACCTATTAAAAGGATCCTGTTTTGCTGCCAGACCTAATTTATTAAAAAATTGAATGCATATTCACTCTCCCTCAGATTTCATAGAATTCCTGATATAATAGTCTTGATTATATTACCTAAACTGGCCACAGCAAAGTGGAAAGATTGGATAACAAGTAAAATGATGAAAACCGACATAGAGCCTTCCAATTACAGACAGGGGCGACAAAAGAGGTTGTCCTGACATATCTGCTATGCATGGAACTAGCCTGTGATTTACAGTACTCGGTTGTCAGTAGGGAGGATGAGATACTCACACACTGCAGCTGCCTCCTCGTCTCCTCTATCCTCCTTTGCAACTCTTCACGTTTGCTGGTGCTTTGTGCCTCATGTTTGGTCACTCTTGCTGCTTGTATCACATTACTGTTCCTTACTCCGCTGCCCGACATGTACCTTGCAGATAGACTTGTTTTATCTGAAATAAATAATTTTTTTGTAAACTTTCCAAACAAACCAATCACATACAAGATTAAGCAAATTTACTGCCTACAAAGAATAAGTACTTTAAGAGGAGTCATATTTTGTCTATTATTAATACTAAAAATAAAAGACCACACATTTTTACAACTTTTTTAATACTTTTGAAATGTAGAATAAATGGGGATAGCAGCTAGCTTACTTTAAAGTTTAGGTACAGGTAGAAAACATAGAAAACACAGAAGACATATAAAACACACACTATTTCGTTCCCAGGGGGGACTTTGTCAAGTGTAGAGAAAGAGAGTTTACAAAATGTCATATATTGTCAATATTGTGTGTTTTATATATCTTATGTCTGTTCTATGGCCTATCTGTATTTCTTCTCAAGTAAGATAGCTGCTATCCACCTTTATTCTACAAAAAAAAATTCCTGGCGTAGAGCCTTTTCTTTAAAACTGTCTATTTCACTGTATTTTACAGTGATGACTTTGTAAAATGACCTGATAGTTTTAAATGTAACCATTTTAAGTGTATGCCTACCTAGCCTACTAGTTAAACTTGCAACATTAACTCTCAAACAAATTGTTACCACAATGTTAACAATGGACGGTACCAATCAATCAATCTTTGTTTGCCATAACGATACATAACATATTATTGACAAAGTCAGGGTTTACAGTTTTCAGATCAAGTCTTAACATAACAAAATATTCTTATAGGGTAAATATTTACTGCACATACTATTCACATTCTGTAACAAAATGAAAACAAAAACTATAGGAAACTTCTTCCAGTTTAAAATATTGCTCCAGACTATAAAAAGGACATTGAAGCAGATAATTGTAAAGCAAACCCTTAAATTTGTGAATTGAATGAATATTTATATTATTTTTTTTACTGAATTATATACTTTAATTGATAAAATGCTACCATCAATCATGTTCAAATATATGACACCCCTCCAACAGTAATCTACTAGATGGAATCTATAACACAAACTACGTTCAACCTAGTTATAAAGACCTATTTTGATGTAGTTTGGTAAAAAGAAAATGTAGCATTGTTTATTACGAGTACCGTATCATAAATCAATATTGATTTTTATTACTTTCAAACCCTTTGCATGCCACGTTAGTTTGTTTAGGCCTTATTTTTAACAAATGGTAGCGAGCCCCAAAAGTATACTTGCTATGGGCGCATCACAAGTGTGCAGAACAAACTGAAATTGATTGATATCACAAGCAACTATACAGGCCTCAAACAATCAACATGAATTACCAAGCTTTCTAGTGATAGTAATTTGTACAATTTAAGTAGAAAAGTAGTTGAACATTTTGCAAATATTTTATTTTGCATTAAACAAGTATAGAAGGAAAGAAAATCCTCTTGCAAGACTTCTTGATTTTCATTCATCAAAGCATAAGCACTTAAATCATACAGCAATTCTAGACTAGTGAAGGAGTCCACTATACAAATCTAAAAAAAACAAAAAAAACACCGTTTATATTTCATTTTGTGGGTTCTGTTGCCGCTAAACTACTCACTTTTTGGGGTTGGATCTTTTTCCATTTCAGCTCCACTTAATGATTCAAATGTGTTCTTTAAGACTTTTTCCCTTCTACTCATAATGTTGAGACTCTCGGTACTGTAACATAAATTAACAAGATTAGTTTAACTATACTGTTAGCAATCAATGCTTATACAAACTACAAGGGGAAATTACTTACAGTTGAATGATTAAGGATTTGACACAAGTAAGCCTTAATATAATTTTTCAATACAAAAGAACAACCCTTAACAACCCAAAAATTATTACAGACACAAAAGGCGAATATTACAACTCTACAATCACCCTTTAGCAATTCAAAGATCACAGCATCAAATCAAAGGTCCAATAAATAGAAATAGTTTTACCAAGTCGACTTAAAATCGTTCATACACAAGACTAGTTGCATACACACTGATGTTAGACAGCTGTTTTTCACTGACAGTCCAAATTCCAATAGTGAATGGAAGCATGTCCACAAGAGTGAATGGAACCAGGCACAAACACCAACCAATGAACAACGCCAATAAAATGTCGGTGATCCACACAGTGGCATAATTGACTTGAAATACACATGAACGCACATCAATTGTAGTAAAATATTGGCTAATTTTTTACCGAGACAATCATTCCAATCGATCTGTGTGCAACTAGCCTAATTAATGTGCTGTCTTGGTCATAAGAATTAACTAATTTTACAATATTTATAGTTGGTGGCAACTGGCAACCCTTTGTATTATTTAAATTATGTTCTTGGTTATGGTCCGAAACAAACTAGATTCTTGTCTGTATAAGATGGGTCCGACATAACTTAAAGATTAAAAGGATCTTGATAACTAACCAACACCTGTCTTGTTTCGGTTCATTAACAGTTGAGACTCGTTATAAAACAAGAACAATATTTCCAATGAAAGTTATGGTTTACCTTCCAGTTATTTTCCTGTCTGAGTGTTCGCCACTGGGAGTAGAAGCTTGTTCATCATCGTCACTCTCCTGACTGCCCGAGACTGACTGAGATGCTTCACCATGTGCCAACAGCAAATCCGGTCGCTTGGCTCGGCGTTGAGACTTGCGCAGTTCCTCCACATCCATCGCGTTCACTGTGTAGTCACTGTTGGTGTCTTCAGCTGGTGGATAGTAGATCAACTGATGTCTCGTCTCTTCCAAAGACTCGCCTTCGGAGATGTCCTCTACATCCCCATCATGCTCAGTGCTCTCTAGGTCCTGAACAAACACATAACGTTTAGGCCTTTATCATACGAGTAAAAGTCAACCATGTCTCAAAGACCTGGACAAACCCACAATATTTAGACCTTCATCACAGGAACAAGTCAATCACGTCTCCAGGTCCTGAACAAAAACACAACATTTAGTCCTACATCACAGTATTAAATTTCGGCCTAAATTATAGGAACAAATCTACACCTTTGTTAATATTCTAAACATTTGATATTTAATACATCATGTCAGGATTAAGAAGATTTGCAGTGATAAAGATATTTAAATATACTTTCTTTGTAAAAATCTACAAGACGCTAGCTGGTTTTGCACTTTCCCAGCCATTTTCTGCAGTAAATAAACTACATGGCTTTTTTATTTTTTAGCTACTCATCTGTTAGTTATAAGATTCACGGGGTTGAAGATGATTCACTACGGTGAAAATGACAGGGTTTCAATATTATTGTATAAAGCGCATGAGTATTATCATAAGGGTGCTGAGTTGTTGTATAGTAAAGGCCAGATGTACAGTAGAACCCTTCATATCCGACCATGACGGGACCAGGCTATGGTCGGAACGGCAAAAAGGTCGAATAATGGAAGGAGCATGACCTGAAGTCTCAGCGACTTCAATAATCATCTCCCGTGACCGCGGCAACACCCGTGAGCCTAACTTGAACTTTACGTGAATTTGTTAATCTTCTACCGCGATGGCAGCAATACCCATGAGCGTAAATTGCAGTCCCCGCGACATTGGTTATCATCTGCGCGACCGTGGCACACCCGTGAGCATAACTTGCAGTCTCAGTGAGACAGGGAAAAAGTTGACGGTCGGATATCCTGAGGAGTCGGTTATTCCATGACGAATATATTGGGGGTTCTACTGTATTGTAGATGTACTATGTTGGTATTCACACTGTTACTTATTTTGTTACTTAATACTTCCTACCAATGTTCAACAATAACAACACAGCAGGTGAAGTTGCTTACCTCATACTTAAAACTTCCTATAGAGCTATCATCTGTATGGTGCCTGTTACGCTGATGACTCATTTCTATGTGTTCAGTTTTCATAATTGATTCCTTAATATCCGTAATCTAAGGAGGAACAATACAGTTACTGCATTAGTATGGTTGGTTTTTCAAACTTCAACATAAAAGGTTTAACGACTGAGGTTAGGTTTTAAGACTAACAACATGAGTATATTATCAATGTGAAATAAAAACTATAGTCGAATAGATTACAGAATAGGACCAAAACCAGTTAAGTCGGGTGGGGTGAGGGCAAGCGGCATCCAATCAGCTTTCAGAAAACTGTCCACTGTTGCCAAGTTGTGCCACGCACTCAGTCTTTGCCCGACAGCTGACCTGTGCGTTTAGAGTATATCCTCTTGTTTTGTCAAGAAATTGCCTTTAAAGTGTGCTTATAATTCAAAAAAGGCCAGTAACAAAGCTACACAAGGCATCTCACTCCATTCTACATTCAACCTTCACTCATATTTAGGTTAAAATACGCTCATAGGTGGCGTCCCCATCTCAAATGAATAATTAATATGGAAGATAGTATCCTTTTCATTTCCATGCTGACTTTGTTTCATGTATCAAACAATAAGCTGAGAAATATTTTAGAAGATTTTTAGAACCGCTATAACAATTTTCGGTCAGATAAATTTACTGGTATTGTTACGGTGATTTATTGATTCAATTTATATTTATTGATTTTATGTTTATACATTTTTCAAAAAACTGCATCTAATCAAACCATAATAATGTATGGGATGAATTTCATGTTCCATACGATATAAAAATATAACAATACTAACCAATACCACCAAGAGAAAATAAATTATTAATTTGTAATGTTGAACTGAACTACCCTACAAGTGGGAAGATAGAGTAAGGGGGTTGCCAGGCTCTAGGTGAAAATCAGCTCACCGGCCAAGAACGAAGTGGCAACGTCGCATCTCCTACCTCTTCAAATGCCAGTACTATTCTGTAATCTATTCGACTATAATCAGACAGCATTTGTATAATTTATTAGCATTTAAATGTGTAATCATTTCTGTAATAACATAAATTAACAACATATTCTAGAGAAGTGCCAAAACCCCTAACATAAATTAAAAACAAATGCCATTGAATATTTATTGGACTATTCAAATAACTTACATACAATAACATGATCATGCCCAAAAACTTCTACTTTTTGCTCAGTAGGCCTACATTAAAACATTACAGGGTGTGTTCCCATTTAGCCTGCTGCAAAGGTTTACATTTTTTCACATGTTAAGATACATACAATTATTTGATGGTTAATTGAGATAGTCATGAAGTTTTTATGTCGTTAATTAGTAGAGTGAACTTTTAAGCCAAAAGGAAAATGAGAAAAGACATTTTCTGCCCCTAATTGGCACTACATACCATATAAGTGTGTAGCTTTAAAATTTTTAAAATTAAATTAAATTATCAGGAGACTTTTTTAATACCATTTTTATAGTAAACAAATGCATCGATATACCTGAGCAACTCCAAACTGCTTCCTCTTTTCATGTTTAAATGATCGAAGTTCTGTACCACTATCTATAGAGCTATCCTCCTTAGAGCCATCTGAGTCCAAGCGCCTCTCTAAAATGGAAATGATCAAATAAGGTAACAGAAAATAGAATAAATAGTGTGTTATTTTGACGAAATGAATTACTAAGGATCTTTATTCACATGAAAATTACTAGAAGTTTATAAAAATGTACCAACATTTTTTATACTATAAGGTAATATAAAGTTCATTTGTAACTATTGAAATTATGACTCCTAATCAACTTCTACCATACCTGATATAGATACGAATATAAGACTTTGGCAGTGTTAAATATGCAATACTAACTAATCACAAATAAAAAAAAAGATCTTGCGATATCTAAAAATGCATGTGATTGATTCCATTATTTATTTGAAGTAAGGTATCAAAATGTGGAGATCACCAAGGGAACCAACAAAATTAACTTGCAAAATTATCTCCTTAACCATGAAATTAATGTGAGGTTTTATATTAATTACCTGAAGAATAAATGTTTTGCTTCAGAACACTCCCACATTTATGGACAAATCATTTATGATTAAGTACAGAAGTAAACAAGGACACAAGAAAGAGCTCCAATAGCAAACTCATTCAAGTTTATCCAGCCCTAAACGTTCTTGCCAAATCGGACCAAAATTAATCGAGTTGTCAGAGTTCACGGACACACACATTATTTATTTATATATATACTGTATCTATAAATATATATCTATTGATATATAAACATTTTGAGGAATAGTGTTTTTAGCCTCTGGGGACACCAAGATTGAAAAGAAATCGGCACTGGCTCTAGATCTTACCGTGCCACCTATGGTAATAACTTCCTCATAGGGGAAATTCCCTAAAAATAGAAATGCTACCCAAGTTATAAGTCTGATTTAATTTATATACATGTTGCTAAAGCTTTGCAGGGTTAAGGTCGATTCACACATTTCAGTCACAGGTCAGTCACATGAGTGATGTCACAGTCAACCAATCTTTGATGGATTTTCCATTGCACTATATACACTCATCTGGCGCAGGCCCGTCGGTTGCTCTGCTGGCATCTGTCAGTCAATTTCAGATTTCTTCTCACCGATATTTTTGGATTGTTTGGACGCCTAACGGATGTGTTTGAAGTTAGAAAATAGTGTTTTTTAATTTAAATGATCGTGTTTATATTTTAGATACTGTTTGTAACAATCAACAAGATGGACGATGGAAATTTGAAAGAATATTGTGTTTTAATTAAAAACTTTTTACTGTAACATCACTGTAAATAAAGTGACGGAAGACTGACTGAAACCAAATGACTGACAGTTTGACTGAGAAATTGCGGATGCAACTGAGATTTAACTGTGACTAGTCTGTGATGGATCTGTGCCGGAGCTGATATGTGTGAATCGACCTTTAAACTGGTTCCACAAAGTAAACAAGCTTTCATAATACTGTAAATAAAAAAGAAAATTAAAAACTTACCTTTGCTCATGGAACCTTGGGTATAAAAATTTCTGTCTAGAATAGGAACATCGTAGTTAGGCTCTAGGTGTGCTCGTTGTGCCCAGCGACCTTTAGGAGCTTCAACTGATCTACTGGATTTCTCAATGATTGGTATGTTGGTGTCCAGAATGGACTTTTGAGCCCACTGAGGCAACTGGCCCATGTTCAACCTGAAAAAGATTAATTGGTGTAGTTGATGAGAAAATTCCAATTGATCACTAAACCTATTACTGACCAAAACAGAAATGCTACATATCTAATCCCCCAAAAATTACAAATCAGTTTGTTAATTTTTTTGAGAAAAAATCACTTGGCTTAGGAATACAGAGAAAAAGAGCCATGGATACTGGAAACTCAACTATGATACCCAAGAGAAAAGTTCCAGGCAGTTGAAAGCATACTAAAAATTTGGGGTCAACTTTTTGTGTGCCCAATAGAGCTCACAAAAATGTATGTTCAGATGGTTAAAAGAATATTCCTATATTAGTACCAAGAAGCATGGACTGGATATTTCTATCCCATCAAAAAGGTTTTGGGGGTAACTGGCTTTTACCTAGACCTCTTTTATTGGGTAGGTAAGTTTATTACAAATCAGTTTGTTTGTATAAAGCAAGAATATATTCAATATTTTTATACCTGATACGTGTAGTTTAAAACTAAATTTTTAGAGAAGGAACACAATGTATTATAAAATTGATAAGTTTGATAAAATACAATAATTGTGTTTTAAACCTCTATAAAAAATATTTAAATATAATAATTAAAAATATAATAGTTGAATCAAAACATAATTGATTACTAAATGAACTATGTGCTATGTAAAACTTCTTATCTGATACACAATAGTTGGCACACATTCGGATGTAAGCAGTAATAAGCGTATAAATCTTCCATTCCTAATTTATTTAATAAAACTCAAATAAAAACATTTTCTATGAAACAAAATAATAAAACACTATTATGACACAATATAAACATATCAGTGATGAAGCCAATTGATAACATCAATGACGTCAAGATCTGAAGAGATAATGTCTTATTTTTATGAGCCTTGTCTCAAAATTAACAATGTTTCTTTATATATCTTCTATTACATTGTGTTTAAGTTGTGGTGGTGTTTATAGTGTCAATTACACATCTGGTAAAGCGGACAAGGCAGTTTTAGAGGAATGTAAGAATTTCATCCCACACCTGAGTACAAAGCAACACAAGGGGGACAGGGGTCGTATCGGAGTGTTTGGAGGTTCTGAAGAGTACACAGGTCCACCCTACTTTGGTGCGATGGCATCGCTTCGGACAGGAACTGACATGGTCTACTTGTTTTGCGCTTCACCCGCAGCCATCCCAATAAAATCATATGGCCCTGAACTCATGGTACTTCCCTGCCTAGACTCGAAGCATGCGTTCAGCAAAATCAAGCCGTGGTTGGAACGTATACATGGTGTATTAATCGGGCCTGGCCTGGGGAGAAACGAAACTGTCGTAAAAAATATAGTGAAGATGATAGGCTTTTTGAAAGAAGACGTTAACAGTGCAATACCGATGGTTTTTGACGCGGACGCGTTTTACATAATGTACTCCAACCCGGAATTGCTACAGGAATATCCCAAACAAGTATATCTCACGCCAAATTATGAAGAGTTTCGACAGCTAGTGTCAGTGGTTTTAGGCATAAGCCAGAACAGTGTTAATCCTCACGAACATTTGAAGGCTCTGGCTGAAAAGTTGGGCCCCAAAGTGACAATCGTACTGAAAGGCAAGGTGGACAAAATAGCGCAAGGAGACAGTGTGGTGACGAGCAACAAGATGACAGGGTCTCCAAGGAGGTGTGGGGGGCAGGGGGACATGCTGGCAGGTTGTCTGGCAGCGCTGGCAGTGTGGCAGGATATGGCAGAGACATGGAGACCTCAAGTACATCTGACACAGGAGCAGATAGTGGGCTACGCAGCCAGTGCCTTGCTCAAACTAGCCAATGAGATGGCCTACAAGGAGAAAGGTCGTAGTCTCATTGCCTCTGATATCCTATCCAAACTGCATCCAGCTTTTGACATTCTCTTTGACGAGTTATAGACATTGATTACTATGAGAGGAAGCCTTTCAAAGAAATTCTAACTGATGAGTGTGATGTGTCTAAGATGAATGTGACAACCAGGAAGCAAGGTCGTAATTGTACATACTTTTTTAATAACATAATTTTGCACCACAATTAATTGTTATCTTATTTATTTAGTTATATCTTTGACATTGATTTTTGCGTTGAATGGTTCCTTAATTAATAGCATTGTTTTGCGGGTGTAAAGTAATAAATAAAACAACCCCGTAAAATAACAATTACAGTTTATTTAAACTCAAATGCTAATAAAAAAAGAATAAAACTGAAAGAATTTGTTTGAGTTTTAATAAACTGTAATTGTTACACGTTGTTTTATTTATTACTTCACACCCGCAAAACAAACATTGCATAGAATTTACACATGATTTATTTTTTATCATGCCATCTCCATTAGAAAAGTTGAATAGTTTAAACTATTGTAGATTAAACTTATAATTAAAAAAAATGCTATTAATTAAGGAACTATTCAACACAAAAATCATCTCTTTAACCCATGAATTAGCTGAGCTGTCACAAAAACATTTAGCGGTTATTATGGACCACAGGGTACAATGCTATGAGACATTTTTATAAGCTTGATGATATTATTCAAACAAAATGATCAATTGATCTTTTAGTCATTTAAATTTCAAATATTGCCTGCGCACACTGAACAGGGAAGCAGGAGCAACGCAAATTTAGTTCTGGGAAGTTCCCGCGCGGGACTGTAAAAACCACATTGGGAGATGAATTTTATATTTCATTGTCAATATTTTTTAGGTTATGTCTTTTATAATTCATTTATTTTTATTTTAACACAATATGTCCATATCAAAATAAAATAAAACCAAAATAAATCTGTGTCCTCCTCCTTTATAAAGGGTGTCCCAGTAAGAACGCCGGATTTCAAGAGCGTCTTATCCTTATATGTATTTCGATAGGAATTCCCAAATTATCAGCTATGTTATCAGTATTAGGTCCCATTTTTTGTCATGAATCGCTACACGACGGATCAACGCTTGATCATAGTTAAAGTGCACTACAAATACGGGAAACGGTTTGCTGAAACGGTGCGGAAGATGCGCGTTATTTTCGGCCGGGACAATGCACCAAATGAGTCATCTGTCCGAAGATTAACTTCTAAGTTCGAAAAAATTTGCTCAGTTTTTGGACATTAAAAGACCATTGCGCAGTCGGGCAGTTCGCTCCCTTGAAAATATTGAGGTTGTACATGATAGTGTAGAAGACAACGCAAGAACATCGATTCGTCGGCGTAGTCAGCAGTTAGGCCTAACTCGGAGCACAGTACAAAGAATTTTGGTAAAAGACCTTCACATGTTCCCTTACAAAATTCAACTCGCACAAGAGATCAAGCCAAGAGATCCCGTAAAACGGCTTGATTTTGTAAACTGGGTGGTTGGCAATCAATAAGAAAATGAAAAAAACTTTGCTGTTCAGCGATGAAGCACACATCGCTGCATAGCCATCTAAGCAAGATCGCGCGATTTAACACCGTGTGGCTACTTTCTTTGGGGATATTTAAAGTCACTTGTTTTCGCCAATAATCCTCAAACAATCCAAGACCTGAAGGAGGAAATTGATCTTGTCATTCAACAGGAAGTGTGTGAAAAAGTGATGGAAAACTTTGTCAAGAGATGTCGGGCTTGTCAGCAGGCAGCAGGTGGACACTTACGAGACATAATATTCTACTAATCGGAGATACTATGCTTTAAGATTCATGTTTCATATTGTAAATTTAGCGTGAAAATATATGGTTCATTAACATTTCATATCCGGCGTTCTTATTGGGACACCCTTTAGTAATGTAAAAAAAAAACTAAAAAAAACAGGTGTGTGCAATCCCTCATAAACTCAATAATTCCGTTTATTTAAGGTGGGTCTCTCCCGCCAACTAAGCCAATATTAAGCTTAGTATAGATTGCACATGTACGGGATTCGAGCCCGCGCATGTAGAATGACCTCAATGCTACACTTGTCAGTGTAATGCCTTAGCCAACTGAGCTACCACCCCACAATTAGCCGAACGCAACAAGTGCCGCTAAAAGCACACTAGATTCAAGCACGCAGAGATTCAACGAACTAACACCCTGAACTATACTCGGCTTAAGTTTTAAAGTTGTCAAATGATTGAGCCTGTTTATCAGCAGTGTATAAATTATAACAAAAGTAAGTCTAGCATGATTTTCAAAAGACTGATAATCCATGAGCTTTGGATGGCAGCAATCGTATAGCCTTTTAAAATTGATTTGTTAATCATACAAATCTACAATTTCCCTACTGTCTTTGAGGAGGTTATTTCAGTTTAATCCAACACATAAGACCCGTTTTCAACTCAATCTTAATCTTACTTAAACTTCTTAACTTACTTAACTTCTATTACTGAGTTTCAATGGGTGTTATTTGGTAGGGTTTGGTATTCTAGGTTAATTACTATGTAATGGTAAATATGTCACATGAAGTGAGAGAAAAAAATTGCATACCTGTAGTCTGAATCATTGCTCCCTTGATGGGTAGAATTTATGTTAATGTTATTTTCTTGAATGTTATCATTATCCCCAATTGTGATCCCCAGCTGAGCAAGTTTCCTAAAAACATAACAATACATTAACTAAATAACTAATGTAAGAGTTATTCAAAAGAATGGTTCCATTTCAAATGATTTAAAATATTAAGATCGTAGGCTCCAAACCAATTCTAGCCTTTAGTAAGAGATTTCAGTAAAATAAGCCATTTATTTAACCAACCCAAACTGAAAGAGCAGCTTATTGTAAATTACAGAATTGTTTAGAGTCATGGTAAAAATAAGTGGGAAATAGAATTTGAACAGAACCTCACTCTGTGAGTCACGATCATTTAACTATGTCCCTGCTACAGCTGGTCCAAATAGATGGGATGTCCACCCTGGTACCAGGGTCTCCACTCAAACTTGATGGGCTTGATGGTAATGGTAAAATACACATTTTTACCGTCATATTTGCATCAAGTGTACTCTTTATTCTCGTTTTTGGGATTTTTTATGATTCAGGCTTTTTTTAATGAGAATCTTAATATATTAAAATGCAAAAGCTTTATTTCAAGTTTGCTCGATTGAAAGTTCACTATTTCATTAGCATTGCGGAAGCAGATGATCATAACGTTGCGTCGGTACAATCACAGTAGATTAAAACAATTTCATTGCAATCTTGGCAGATTTTGGAACTGGTGTTGACTTCAAAGTCTTAAAGTATTGAGAACTAACAATTCTTGATATCACCGGTATCAAAAGCTTTTTGGAATCTAGAATCAGAATCGGTTCATCCCTATTTTAAAGGTTTGGACACAAAATTCACAGCCCAATTTAGATATCCAATTTAGATAATTTAGAGATATATACACGGTTGATAGTTTTAACAGTTAATTAGTTACTCTATAGTGTTCTAACCAAAGACAAAACTTACTTGCCAGCCCGAGCGACTTGTTGAGCCAACCTAGCTCTCATGGTGACCATTAGATCATGAGGCATTTTCCAGACAAAGATGCAGCCGTCTCCTGAGGCAGAGATGAGTCGTCTGCAGTCCCGAGTGAACCTCAGACCTGTCGCCAGCTCACTGTGACCCAGCATAGTGGCCACACACTCGGTGTTGTAGTAGTCGTAGATACTCAGGGTCTTGTCTGTACAACTGGTGGCCACAAGGATACCACTTGGGTCCAGCGATATCTATATCATGAATATACTGTTTACTGAGAAATAAAATACAGAATGTTTTAAAAAGAATATTCCTATATTAGTACCAAGAAGCATGGACTGGATATTTCTATCCCATCAGATACCCTAGCAGCCATTGGAGCTCTGAGCTCATAACTGATAGATGGAACTGTCGGCAGAGTCTAACTTGCTGGGACATAGCAACAGTTTGACCCTCCTCTGGGTTCCTGGACATCACAACAGAGGAACAGCTTGTAACAGTAAGCTTGTGATAGGAGTAGTTACTTCTGTTGTGAGGCCAGAATCAGGCCGTGCAATGGAAGATGCCTTCTTCAAAGGAGGCAAGGACGGAGAGATGGCATTAAGATCAAGAGTTTGGAGAGTTCTAACAGGGTATAGGCAAGCCAATGAGTTACTTGGGGACTACAGCATTAGAAGATATGAGACCATGATCAGACTAAACCAAAATTGTTTAAGAATTCTAAAAGGATTTTTGACTGAACACTGCACATTAAGAACCTCAAGAAAATTAATATTGTACAAGACAATGGATGTTGATTCTGCCAATCAGGGGAAGAGACCCCAAAGCAGCTGTCGGTGGATTGCTGGGCAGTCGACTACAAAAGCCAAGGGTCTGGGGCTGTACCAAGTAGCGACTAGGGATATTTCTCTGTTGAAACCCCGTCAGATACAGGATTTCGTGGGTGCTCTAGACAGGACTGGACACAAGTTTGGAGGACACAACAGATCTTTTTTTTGGGTTGCAGAGTATTTTTTCCCCATGAACATCAGTATCTGTTTGGTATTTTAGTGCTTTATAATACAGAAGTCAACAATACGACACTTATGGTAGGCCTACCTGGAGGGAGTCAGATTTCCGAAAATGTTGAATTACCAAAAATAATTCTAGATACTTCCAAACTTAGAAAGGTCAACTTATGAAGCCTTGCTACTTCATAACTACTAATACAACAGCAACATATATTCAATACGGTTTTCCTATTGATATTTATTAAATATAATAATACCCAATTCCTTCTAATAAACACCAGAATTAGAATAAACATTTGCTGAATTTGCCTATTTAAAACTTCACTTCTACTATATTACGTATGCAGGTCCAAAGCAAAATATTTATAAGTAAACAATTTATTAATTTAAATCTGATCTGATCTGAAGAAAATTCAAAAACTGTTTATCAATAAAAGATATGCCAAAAGATGTTACCTTAATCAACGAACCATCCTCGCCCACCGATCCCTTGAATGTTTTTGTGTGTTTGCTGGTGTTGATGCTATACACCCTGATATTCCTGTCTTGACAAGCGGTTAGGACATGCTTCTGAGTACAATCCCCCTCCATATCATACAGTGTTGTTTTGGCAGCTGTGATTTGTTCTCTAACAAATGTGTGCTGCAAACATAAAAAATGCTTTATTATTCAATTTTAAACATGGTAAAAGATGTAATAGAAAATATTATGAATCTTATTGGTTGTATTGACTTTTTTAGGAGGAAAATTAATACAGGAAGTTTAAGCCATCTCTGTCAAATTAAACTTTCAAACTAATGACTATGATCCCACAAAAAATTTGGTTTGCTTTTACAGAACATCAGGTAAGGTAATCTCGTATTAGAATTAAATTAAATCTTTTCCCTCAATAATGCCAATTACCTTCATCATTTTGACAAAAAACGATACTTTTCAAGTAAAAACAAGGTATTTACTCAGGGGAGGTATATAAGAGGCTACGATGACAGCTGAGGGCTTCTTATTAACTGAGGGAACGCCATTACCGTAACAAAACGTTCAAAAGCCATCGGCCTCGATGGTCTATTGGTTAGCGTGCCGGGCTGATATACTAAAGGTCCCGGGTTCGAATCCTGCTGGTAGCATTAACTTTTTGTCCAAGATTTTTTTATTATCAGCAAGTTTGGTTGGTTTGGTTTGGTTATTACAGTTCAATTTTATTATTAAGTCATTATAAAATTGTAATTAAACAATTTCTAGTTTTATTTAATAAAAAGAATTATTTTTCCGATTACTAAACTTTTGTTATATTATTTCTTTATCAGCAAGTTTGGTTAGTTCGGTTAGGTTATGATAGTTTATTTTTATAATTAAAAAATAGTAAAATTGAATTTGAGGCATTTATAATTTTATTTTATGAACAGAACTATTTTTGCGACTAGTAAACCTTCATTGCCAAAGTGCTCTCTACTACAGCGCTGTTCACGGAGGAATTTTGAACTAAATGCCTCATTTGTACCTCCCCTAAGTCAGACCCTAAAAACAATAATTTATTACATTGTTTACCTTAACAGATTAAAAGATTATTTCCATCTAGTTTTGTTTTGTACACAAACAGCTGCTAAGATTTTTTTAAACAACATGTATTAGTCCACTAATAATATTTCAAATATGTCATATTTCAATAAAAGGTATATGTTGATGCTATTGTAGTGAAAGATAGAAAGTGATATGATGCTAAGCACACAAACCTTTTGATAACAGTCCAATAATATTTGTATCAAACAGGATAATTTTCTTGGCAAAATCAGCGGACAAATTCTAGTTTAGAAATATGTTCAGCTTATGTCCTTGACTCCAGCTGAATTTCTTTTGATATAGAGAGTAAAATAGTTTCTTTAGCGCTGCAACGCAAGAAGTGAAAACAGGCTTTTTTCTGCAGTAAAAAGAACAAGTTTTTTTTTTTAAAGAGGTGGTGGCCTCTTTTCATTTGCCCGTCCACATAGACTAACTGCCAGTGTGTGTATACAGCAAAGCAAGGGGTAAGCCGGTACAGTACAAAGGTGACCTGTACTGATAAAATGTTTGCGGTAGTGACCAGGATCCGAACCCACAACATCGCTGCCTTGGGCCCGAAGTCCGTGACGCTACCAACTGAGACACCGACTCACAAGTTCTTATTATTCTTAGCAAAAGGACATAGGTAACTATCATTATGATAGCTTACCTGTACATCACTCCCAGGAATATTCCTCTGCAATGTGCGGAAGATGATGGATTTGTCTGCTCCACATGACACCATCTGAAGCTGGTTGTTGTTGCTGAGGAACCTCACAGCAGTGATGGACGAAGAATGGTCATCCAGAGTTTGGACAAGTTTATAACCCTGGGAAAGGATTTATGCTCTTTAGTTCAGCAAACTTACCTGGGAAATTTGTATAGAGCAGAGGCTTTTACATACACACTATTGTGTGTCATTTTCTGTGTGTAATTTCCCCAGGTATTCTATTCCTATCCTATAAAAACCCTCCTTAACCACGTTAGTTTGTATTTTGTGTCAAAATTATCCATAAAATTATATACAGTATTTTATAATATTAAAATTGATTTAATTTTAAATACACTCAAAATAACAATAGTCTAGATACTAAGTTGTAGTATGGTTTTAATGCATTTCAGCATTCATTATATTTTGTTTTACAAACCAGTATTTTTATGTTTAGAGTTTAGTTAAGACTCAAATAATCAAATTGACTCAAATAATTAAGACAAATTGCATCTTGTCTTAGTAGTTAAATATTATGTAAATTGTGATGTTGTGTGTACCTACCAAGAAGACTGCATGGACTTTCTAAAATGGACTTAAAGATTAATGCTGCATTGTAGGCTAATTGGGCTCTATGCCTGTAATGTAGTATTGTTATCTAAATAAAATAAAATAAAATAAATAATTTTTCTGTAAATCAAGGTTCCTCTAAGCCACAGTACATTTTGTGTGTACAGTAAATTACATTTAATTTTTATCAAAATAACTGTGAGAATGCCAATATTTACAAAAACAATTACAAAGAAAATTAACAAATTTTTATATGAAACTGATAAATAACTATATTTAAGGCTTAATAGTCCAGGTGGCCAACAATACTGGCCACAATATTTGCATAGTAGCTTGGATACATTACATAAGTTACCCTTGCCAACCGAATGACCAGTTGTAAAGGTTCTAGCCAACATTGCAACACTCAAACATTCAGGCAGTCAGCAGTACTGTTTGATAAACATGTGTTTTCTATGAACAAAATACAGGTCTGTTCAAAAATATGGACCTAACTTCAAGACTTTGATATCACAAAGTATAAATCAGGCAGACATAAACTTAACACCATAAAAAAAGAGGAAATTTCAAAGATTTTTTACCAAAGTTCAGTAAACAGGCAAAAAGGTTATCACATCAAAGTACAGCCATTTTTTTCAATCAGTTCTTATTAAGATGGCTACCATGCAACATAAGATTTTCTGTGTTACAGAGGTTGCAAAAACTGTGACTCCTATTACAGTACAGCGGGTTTTACACACCGAATCTGGTATTCAACCACCAACTAGAAAAAGCATTTTAACTCGTTGATTTAGGCAATTTCAAGAAATTGGTGTCACAAGAGATGCTGTCTCATGTGGGGGTCGAATTCCGCTATCACTTAAACATTTGTCGAGCAGCACAGGGACACACATGATTTATACTTTTGTTATACAAAGTCCCAAAACTGGGTCCATATTTATGAATAGACCTATTTGTTTTATGTCTGATTTAGGGCTGTGTGGGCCCAACTTCCTAAAAGTTTAGGTCACCAATGTGGCCAAGCAAATGGCCAACTAAACACAAATGGTTGCAAAAATCTCTTTTAAAAGTTAAAAGAAAAATTATTTAGAAATGTTCAAATGCACATATCTTTCTGCTAACACAATAAAAGTTTATATTACATCGGACCATGTACTATAAATGCCAAGAAGTAGACTTATAATTGATATGACCAAGTGTTTATAATTTTGAAATAAACTGTACCGCAATTATGTCTTGTCTCTTAACTGTTTAGCTTATGAAGGTCATAAGACTAGTTATTTCTAAAACAGTGCATTTTAGCTGGGAAAAACTTAAACAAACAGATAGGCCTCTATATTAAGGAAAGGGTGGCAGAACTAGGGCTACAACAACATAATCACCTCATCAACAGAAAACACATGGATCAGTCTATCTCGGGAAGCTGAGGCTAAATATTTTTTTCTAGGATCATCGAAGTTGCTATACTCCACACACAGGACTTCCCCGTCATGTGCTTCTATCCTCACAATTTCTTCTAAGGAGTGAAGATCTGTAATTCTGGAAAATGAATAAATTATTTAATAATTATTTATAATTATTTATTATTTAAAAAATAGTTTTAGTACTGAACTCAAAATGTCACAAAAGAAACTGTTGGGCAATCATTTTTCTAATGGTAATATCAATAGTGTTTAAACAATATTAAATGTGTCACCATCAACTTGCAACATTATTTATTTGGTTGTTAAATAATAAACCATATCTACCATGGGATATATTTTTCAGCTTAGAAATTAATGACCTCCTTATAAATAAATAAGTAGGCCTAAACAAATAACAATGTCTTTTAAGCCCTCGGGTAGTCTGCTGTACAATGTGGGTCCAAAATATGAGAAACTTTTCTTTCCCAATTCCAAGGTGACCCTTGGAAAGTGAAACCTCCCACCATGACGTGTCCTACGTTGTATGATCCCATCCCAGACAGAAAGCATCTCGCAAAGATAGTCGGGCTCACGGAGAGTCAGTAGGCTACCCTATGAGTCATGCAGCACGTCAAAAACCTGCACATGGCTTCCATGGGGAACATCCCGGCATCTTCATGGAAGGGGGAAACATGATCAAATTTTTTGAGGCAGAATACAAATTGGATTGCTGAGCTTTGAATTCGCTGTATTCTGCATACGTCTTCCTTAGTGATACTATTGCCATATGCAGAGAAGCAGTAGTAGACTACTGACAATATCAGTGACTGCATGAGTTGAAGCTTTGTAGCCTCAGGCAGCATACCTCTGAACCTGTACAGACCTCCTCTTCCTATTGCTCGTTGAGAGATGTGTGTGATGTGATCTTTAAAATTCAAATTTCTGTCAATAATGAAGCCAAGAGTTTTTGCTTTGTCACCAACCGCCAGACTCTTGCCATCACGATTGATGTTCCAGCCACTATCTCTTAGTGTCTGTACAAGGTTCACAGTTGAAATAAGAAGTACAGTGCACTTGTCTGGGTTCAGCCTAAGCCCATTAATGTAAGACCATTTGGAGATGTTCCCCAGATCAGTGATGATCTTGTCAATGGCCTCCCTCATGGAACCAGGCTCATAAGACAAGTGCACCTGGGAATCATCCGCATACAAGTGCGCAGTACAGTGTTTTGCTGGGAAAGTCAGCTGTGTAAAGCGTGTAAAGTACAGGCCCCAAACAGCTACCTTGAGGAGCGCCCCAATTTTTTGACGCGGGGTTTAGATGTTTCACTACCCAATCTGGTAACCTGCAGTCTGTATCCTCTCCTTGGTTTTGTCACTATCCGAAAGGTCAGTAAACAACGTTAATCTAATTCTACTTTTCATTTAATAACAATAATTTTTAATAACTAAGCATACACAAATATAAATAAAGCATTCTTCGCTGAACAACATTTCGTCAATTAAATGTGACATCATTAAATTTCTCCTCATTCCACAAAAACAAGATTAGAGTAAACTAACATATGAACTTGCCTGATATTGCCTTCCCTATCCCCAGATGCAAGGTGTTTGCCATCTGGACTTATCCTAATTGACCTAACTCCATTCCGTCCATCGTAGGATGTGGAATCACCCTTTTCACCTTTTGTTATATCCATATCTTTAAGAAAATTCATTTCTGGATCTACATACATGACTTTGAGCAGCTCCTGAAACAAGTGGAATTGGAACCATAAAAACAATAAATGATAAGATGAAACTGGATAGTTGATACTTGTTTACCTAAGAAAACTGGGCCATTAAATGGCACTTGTTGACACCTTTTTTCTTTGTATATTTCCCTGCATTAGTATAATAGATAAAGTAGAATAGTGAGAACACTTCCGTCTAGGTAGCCAAGTTGGTCACTAAAAACTGATTATTAGATTAAAGAACACCAATTTGACAACTTAACTATAAAAAAATATTTCTTCTTGAACATGATGGTTGAAAGACACTATACTTCATTTTGAACCCTGTCTAAGGTTATGTTAGGGTAAATATCACAATTTCCTTTGGTCATTGAAATGTAGTTAATGAATTAGGATTAACAAACATTAAATCTACTACTATCTTAACTATCTGCTTTTTCATCTAAATCTATAACTCTCTAACAAAATTTTGAAACATTATAATTTTAAAATAAAACTATTACATACACACATTTTAAAGTTTTTACTATCTAGCATTACAATTTATTGTTTCAAATTTTATTTTAAAAACATACCAAGAAGATTATTAGAATAGCTGTAAGTAAATTCAACTTTTAAAATTTTTCTTTCATTTACAAATTAAGAAATGAACCACAATGTAAAAACACATTACCGAAACAGTAAAATATCAAAAAAGTGATAAAACGTTAACTCAACCACAGGTCTGTGTGCTGAGACATTGACAAACTGAAGGGTTGACAAATTGTGTGGTATTTTTAATACATTGTTGGATGCAGCTTGTGAAAATGCAGCTTGTGAAAATTCAGCACAGAAATAGCACACAATGTACCTGTATCCAAAAATTAGATAATCAAAACTCTACAGTAGTTACACACATGCAAGTTAATACTTGTGTTTGACTAACATTGCTATATATGTTTGTCCTATATCTGGTATTGACTTGAGGATCTGGACTATCTAGGTTCCAAACCCTGATAGTATCATCACTAGAGCAGGTCAGGAAAGATCCCAGAGGCATGGCAGAGTTCTTCACACTATCAGGATACATCTCTACGCCCCAGATACAAGCTGAGTGGTACAGAAATGAATGGGTCTTCCCAACCTGTCACACAAAAACAAACTTTTATTACTATTGCGATCTTTAGAATATAGAGAGAACAGCTAGCTAGCCTTAGAAAAGACCAAGTAGGTCTTAGTCATAGTATATATAGAAGTCACGGAGCACGATATTTCAACCCCACAGGGACTTTGACAGGTGTAGATAAATGGAGCTGTACAACATTATTGCTGCAATGAGGGTTGTCAACTGTCACCAGTTTATTTACAAAACACAAATTTATACAGGCTGTAGACAAACTCCCTGGAAAGATTTTGTGTATTTATTCCTTAGGTCAAAATAATAAAAAAAAACAACATCATATAAACATGGATAAAATGCCTGGTTTTCTCTCTGTCTGCCCGAATGTGATTTTTACAAAATGTATCCGTAGCTTTTGATTTTTGAACCCCTGAAGCGATTTGAGTTCAAACTTAGTACATAAGCAAATAGAACCAATATTTGCACAAATATCAAATGTCTAAATTTTACCAATTGAAATTGGCAGCCATTTAGAGTAAATCGTTGAATGTTAAATGGCTGGCAAAAAGGGGTAAATTTAATCAAGCCATCCAGTTTAAACTACTGATTTGACGACTCAATTGAATTAGACCCTCTAAGATTAATTAGACCCCTATTGGGACAACTGAGCGCATTTTTTCACTAAGAATAACATTTAATATAAACTTACCCTCTTTATATCTTTAACATCCCAAATGTATAAACTGTGGTCATTATAAACACACGTCAGCTTCATGTTGTTTTCATCAAAAGAAACTGCTATTGCGTCTGGGTATTTCGCATTGTTGGGGTGTGTAGTTGTATGACTGAAAAAACAATGATATCTAAATTATATACATCTGTTAATATATCCTGCAAAGTTGGTTAGAGAATAATATTGTCACTAGATTCAGATTGTAGACATAACCTGTGGGGAGGGTTAGAAATTGTGGCTCTGTACTGTACCTAATACAGGAATCGCTACTGTAAATAATCATTTATATCCTAAACTTACTGTCTACTGAAGACAGTATTTAGAAATATTGTTTTATTTATTGATAAAATAAAAGGATTACCATATCCAACCACAGTTGCTGGTACGACAACTAGTTTCGTTCCTTAGAACTTCGTCAGGTCATTGTATGCAACCACATCATCAATGTATGATGTGGTTGCATTCAATGACCTTACAAAGTTCTAAGGAACGAAACTAGTTGTCATACCAGCAACTGTGGTTGGATAAGGTAATCCTTTTATTTGATCAATAATATATTCCAACCAAGGGTCACAATGAATAACATGTTTTATTTAATTATACTATATTAATAACAACTACAGTAATTCATTGATCTGAAAAATCTACGATAAACAATTATTTAATTATTTATTATTATTTATTTAATTATTTAACAATATTTAAATTATTTAAAAATTTTTTATATAACTTAGTAAGGATATATCGAATCCTTTTTTTTATAGGAATCACAAAGACCATAGGTACAGTTTTGTACAGTCTGACTTCAAACACTTTTCCCGTACACTGAAATTATACAATTCCAAACTACCTATAATAGAAGAGACACAAAACAAAACTAATTTAAAATTTACAGAAAGTAGCTAGGTATAAATAGGTCATGTGTCGGTATTACACTTAAAAAGTCAGTATATCGGTACCGGTTACTGAACAAAATTGATTTCTGTTCTCAGTGCCAGTAATTAACTATAGAGTACTCAATGTTTGAATTGTGCCTCCAATAGGCCTTTTTCCTGTTGGTAGTGTCATTTTAAATTGAGGCCCTAAGAACCGATGGTTTCCAGAATTGCCTTTAAGCACCAACACATTAATAGTATGAATACTTTTACAACTTGAGTATAATTTTAGATCTCTCCTGTATCAGGTAACTGTGTTCTAAAGGACATTACATCATATGTTGGCTAACAATACTAGTAACAGTAGTGGTAACAATGTTATGGTGCTTGCCTATTAATCAGAAGTTCACAGGTATAATCAGAAAATTTGTAGCTTTATGGTGGACAATTGAACCAATTGGCATCGATTATTGGCCGAAGTGTAGCTAATAGATATGCTAGAACTATTCTATAACAAAATTACCAAAATCATCTCACCCCATTCATGGAAACAACTAAATCAAATTGATCAATTAAGAAGATGACAGGTCATTGTATTATCAAATAAATCACCACAAACACTACATGCAGATTTACTGTCATCATCTGACAAGGCACTCCAATACTCATTCAAAATGACTGGCTACAAATTCTTCTAAAACAACACTGATAAATTTTAGCAAAAAAGGTAAAAGAATTTCTGAAATTCCAGATATTTTAGTTGAAACAGATACAGAACTGCTTGGTTTGGGGATTGATGCCGACCTATCATGGAACAATCACATTCATGAACTAACCAGGAAGTTTTCATTCGGTAGACACACAGTAAAGAGGATGATGTGTATGGGAGGATAGAACCAGCCAAGGCAGCATAACATACCATAGTGGAATCACACATAAGGTACGGGCTGATTCGTTGGGGTAGCACCTCCGACAACAACCTATGGCCTGGTTAATTACCCGTGCTCAGAAGAAGGATGTTACGGTACTGTATTTTCTGGCCTTAGCTTCACAGAAAGTTGTATAGAAGCTTTGAAATACCTCAAGATTTTAACAGTTCTAACACTCTATATTCATGGACCAACAATGTACACAAGCCAGCTAAATCTTTTCAGGAATCAGGATTTCCACAACCAACATACTACAGGAGCTAGAGACTACAGCCTTCCCATCCACCACACCACATAATTCATTAAGAAACTATTCTAAATTCCCTCCCACACACATGAAAAACCTATCAGGAAAGAAACTGAAAAAGGAACTTTGGAACTGGCTTGTTAATCAACCAGTGTTCTCAATCAAGGAATTTTTGATATAAGAATTATTGATAAGCAAGAACAACTTTTTGTTCTATGTATTTTTGACGCTAATGTATTTCTTTATGACATTACAAACAAAGTTGTTTGTCTATTGTCTTATGTCTATTTGTCTACCTGAGATTAGTGATAAAGTGGTGTTGATTGTCTATACTATGGAGCTATGTTTACCTGATATTAGTTCCTTGAGCAATATCCACTCCCAGATAGTGAGGTCTAGGAAGTGTGGTAATATACTGTAAAGTTTGTGGACTGAAACAGCGAACTATTCCCTCCGCACAACCAATGAAAATTAAAGTCTTAGAAACAGTCATACAATTTGCACACGGCGTCTGGAACAAAAGAAAAACACTTGTTATTTTAAATTATGTGAAGATGAGCATGGATTTTGCTTTTATTAGGAGTTATTGAAGAATCTTTCATCTAATGGATAGTTTGTGTCAAATAATTGTTATTAAGAAAAATTGTTTTAATATGTTTGAATGGGTTGAATATGTTTGAATTATTAGTAAATAGATTGGCCTATTTCACAATTATGTCTTGTTATCAAGTCAACTAGTGTTTTCCTCATCTGGGCCTAACATGGTAATCTCCAGGTAAGAAAACTGTTGAGATTTACTACTGATAACAAAGTAGATTAAATACAAAAAATAATTCAAACAAATTTTTTTTAAGAGCAAAGTCATAGATTCACTTTAGCAAATCGTTAAATAACATTTGGCTGGAATCATTTGGGCTTAATAATTAACAAATCCAGAGTAATAATTAACAAATTAAAAGATTCAGTTATAATGACAGTAGAAATAAACAAACACAGTAAAAATGAAAATGACTACTCAACAATAACAGATGGTTGATAAGATTTTACACAGTTGGAAACTACAGGGAGCGAACCTTAAATTAAATTGCATAATACTTCGCGGCAGCAAACCTGCAGACAAAGCGAATTTCCATTATCCTGATAGAATTTTCACCAAAATATTTCTTTAAACATTTCCGATTTATTTCCTAACTAAACAACATTAGGCTTAACAACTTCTTAGGTTTGCTGCTACAAGGAAGGTAATAAGGTGTGCTTTTTAGTGAAATCTTAATAGCTTTGGATGAAATAAGCCTATTTGCCAAATTTAATCAAATTACATTCATGCACATCACAACAATTCACTTATTCTCCATTAGAATCAAGTGAAAATTTTAAATTGATTTTTATTTTTGAGCTATACAAAATAGTTTGAAGAAAAATTTGATGTTTTCAGGGCCAAAAATGAGAGAAACTAATTTCCCCCCATAACGGGGTGTTCCCATAGTCCGATCATGCTGGTTCGCTAACTTGTTCCAATAAACATAGGTTTATACGTTTGTACTGAATTTCATAAAAAACGGATAATTTATACGCGAGTCATCGTGAATATATATATACAGTATATATATTTTATATATGATTCTGAACAAATGGTATACGGTGATAGCTCATTCCTTGTGTGTAAAATTCCCCCAAAAAATTTAATAATGAATTTTTAGGTTTACAAATAGCCATAATTTGCTCCCGCAACTTCGACAAAACTTTTGTGGTACCGTGATCACAGTCTTCTTACCTGACAACCTTGAGGACCAAAGGCCACCATTTATCAATTTATGAATGGAATAGGGTCATAGGCTATTGTCGATTATTCCAAATTTACCAGTTAAATACAAAATTTACAGACTTTTTTCCGGTCATCAAAGTTTACGTACAATTCCTAGTTTTGTCGTTGACTAGACACCCTGATTAGTGTTTAAGAACATTATGGCTTTGTTATTTTTTTTTTACTAAATACAGAATTCTTTTTTCGCAACAGGTGGTTTGGATAAGATGGACATTTGGATTAGCGGGACTCAGGTGTAGTCAAATCAACTCTCTGTATATTCAATAAAGGTGTCAAAATATCGGGATCCTGAAACTTGGATTTTTTTTATATCTCAAATTCCCGGGATTAGCAATCAAATCAAATAATGTTTATTTCAAAAAAGTATACAGAGTTAAAGTATTTTGTCAGCGGCTTGGAGAGTGGGGTCTTATAGGGGAAAGATTCGTTTCTCCTATTTTTTACCCGAAAAACCGAAAATTTACAATTTTTCTTTTAAGTATTTCGCAGAGCTAAAATAAATTATTAAGTAAGTACTTGTAGTAAGCATAGTTGTATGCTTAATGGTTTACGATGAAAATTCCATAAAACTAAATTTAAAATTCCCACATTATTCTAATGGAGAATAAGTAAACTCTGGTAGTTTGCTTGTTTACGGACATATTCTGATCAAATTTGGCAAATTTACTTATTTCATCATTAGAAATTTACATTTCCCAAAAAACTGCACCTTATTACCTTCCTTGTAGCAGCAAACCTAAATACTGATTCAACCTAATGTTATTTATATAGAGAATGAATCTGACATAATTAAGGAAATATTTAAGTCAAAATCCAATAATGCAAATGGAACTTCGCTTAGTCTGCAGGCATGCTGTGGCAGGGGTATTTAACTACTGATACTTACCCTGAGCTCCACCCACTTGTCTAGAAGTCTCCTATTGTTGAATTCACATAGGAGCCCTGACCGTGTGATGGCATAGGTTGAGTCGGACATCTCCCCCTTACCACAAGCTACATCACAGAAGTCGTTGTTCCTCTGCTCTCCTAGGATGGCTGACCTTCCCATCAGGGGAACGGGCTCCTTGTACTGTTACATACCACAATGTTATCAGACCACCAAAGAATATTTGTGACTTTAATTGTAGCTCAAGTTAAAAGGACAAGTTTTTTTTTAAGTTAAGCAGGAAACCCACTAGTCCGACACTCTCCGACACGACATCTTCCAACAAGTGTCCGAAACCTTCTGATGCCTTCCGCATTTATTAAGGCAATAACCCATTGGTCCGACGGGCTCCGTCAGTAACCAACGAGAAATTGGATTTTTCAGGCTTTTTTTGTAATTTTTGGCTGCTTGAGTAGTAAAAGAGGTCATTATCTGTCCATCCAATGGTTCTTTGTTTGCGTAATATTTTTTCTATAATATTAGGACCACAATGTAAGAACCAATCACCAATCAAATCTATAAAACTTGCATCATTGAAAGCATCAGAATATGTTCAGGCAGCTTTTATGACCTACTGTATAAAGAAAGGGATACTCCCAAACCGCTTGAATCAAACGTTCGTCAATAGTCATGTCACACACAAAGCTAGACAGTGATGAATCTAGGTCTGGTGCATGCAGAGTGGAGAAATATCGGATCCGACATCCGACAACAATGCCCCAGAGAGCAATGTTGTTGGAACAAGTCGGATCGGAAGGTGTCGTGTCGGACTAGTGGGTTACAGTCCATTTAAAGTTATGCAAAGTAATTTTGTCGGAGACTTGTCGGAAAGTGTCGTGTCGGAGAGTGTCGGACCAATGGGTTTCCTGCTTTAATCAAAACTGAGGTTAGAAACTAGGTCAATAGAAAGAAAGGACCATTTCGTCCTAAACTGTACTTCACTCAATTTTGAATTGTTATTATTTATCTGTACAAAAGTTAAAAAAAGGGTAGGTATACACTGAAAAACGCAAGATCATTATGTTTTTATTTGTATTTAAATGTGCCTCAAATAAATAAGTATTTCCATTTATTCATTATACAAAATAATTCTTGCAGATGAGCACAATAATAAAAGAATGAGTGTTGCCTTAGTTCATAGACATTCTTTTATCGTATGAATAACATTAAATGGGATGACACTAAATAAGACCATAGTATAATGGGACAAACTGATTGTTTAAGCAAGTGAAAGAACATTCATCAAACAAGGCTCAAACCTTAGAGATTTCTTACTTACTTTTACAAATCAACAACAACTACTTTAACTAGGATAAATCAATTTGAAATTCATAAAACACATAATGAATAGTCTGTTATGAAGCAGTTGACTCATTTCTGCAAAAGTTATAAAGCCAAGATAGAATTTAAAGTATGTTAATTGGTATAAATTTAGATAAACACAATAATAAGGGGGTTTTCCAGACACATTTGTTTGTATTATCTAGTAATGATTGTAAAAAAAAAACGACAACTAGTGAAGATAGATTAATTTTTATTATAAACATAACTGAAAAAACTCAATACTAACCTTAGCTGATCTACTATATTCCAGGTACCAAAATTTAACCAGTCTATTTCCAGCAGTGACAAAGTAATTTCCATTTTCAGAAAACGCCACAGCCTTAACTTTGTTAGAAACTTTATTTGAAGCTACTTTCACACCAGACTTCCACTCCCACACATTGACTATCATATCATGTTCACAACCAACAGATACGAGGTACTTTTGACTTGGAGAAAATGCCTGAAACAGAACACAGCATTACCAATACCAGTTATTTAGAGATAAGGTTAAGGCAGTATTGAAAAAAAAAAGTCGGAAATAGCCGAGCGCTCACGGAACACCCCCCCCCCCCCCCCCCCGAATCTCATCCAGATTTCAAAAGTAGGTGGCTACACTTGATTATATTTCGAGATTCAAACCCGTGATCTTTATTTCTGGAATACTCTGTGCTTGGATCATGTTCTAATTATTTTAAATGGATTCTTCGTATATGATTTAGGGGGGAATAATTTTGTTTTGCGTTTCTAGGTGAAAACGTACTCCCATAAAAATATGTGTACCCGGTCTGCCTCACCATGTATATGAATTTTTCAACCAGTTTTTATTGCCTTTGAGGACCTGAAAACAAAAAAGAAAATCTGTTCCGGGGCTAGGTCTTACCATAGAGGCCTATGGGAATATCTTATTTCCTATATGGGAAATTCGCTTAATTTTCGCCTACATGGGAATTTGAAAAAAAGAAATTTATGTCCATTTAATGAAATACCATTTTTTTATGTTTAGAGCCATGATATATTAAACTTCTAATAAATGTAAATTAAATTACAGCAATTTATCAAGTTAAAGATTACTAATTTATATTTTAAAGGATTAAATTAATGTTGTTTTTATTTTAATAAGACAAGTACCTATGCAATAAAGCAATATGGTTACAAAATTGTCAATAAAGAATTTGATCAAAAATTAAAAAAAAGGTTGTTTTTATCAAATTTCCCTATAGTTGCTATTACTGTAGGTGGCACGGTAAGACCTCGACCCGAGACCGATTTACTTTTTCATTTTGATGTCCCCAGAGGCCAAAAACACGATTTGTTTAAATTTGTATATGTATATGTATATAATATATATATATAATATCTATATATTAATATAGATATAGAGTTATATATATATGTCCGTAAACACGATAACTTGATTAATTTTTGTCCGATTTTAATGAAATTTGGTTTAAAGGTATAAGGCGGGATAAACTTGAATAAGTTTGCGAACCAGCATAATCGGACTATGGGAACGAGGTTTTTTTGGGGGATCTTATGGGGTAAAAATAGGTTTTTTCTTATTTTTGACCCTCAAAACACAAAATTTCCCAATTTCTCTCTAGATCTTTTTAAAGAGATAAAAAAATAATAATTTAATATATCAAAGTGTTTTTGTAAAGTTATTGGTAACAGAGAAAAATTCAAAAAATTGTAAATTTAAAACTCCCATTTTATAATTATGGAAAATATTGTAAAGTGTAGGAGTTTGCTTGTTTATAGATATATTTTGATCAAACTTGGCAAATTTCTTTACCTTATACTAAGCTATTAATAGTTAACTAAAAAAAACACACTTTATCAGGTTCCTTGTAGCAGAAAACCTAGATACTCGTTAAACGTAATGTTATTTAAATTTAATTTTAAATCAATCCAGACAAATGGAAATTCGCTTAGTCAGCAGGTTTGCTGTGGTGGGGTATTTTCAATACAAATATGGTGTTTGTTCCAGAATGTGGACGTATCAATTTATTTCTGTTATGTCTCATAAACAAAATTATAAAAATTATAATATCAATTATAATTTTTTAATTGAAAAACCAAATAATTTGTATAAACTAAATCATAATAAATAGAATAGAAAATTTGCTACAACAACAACTGTTATATATTTATTGAGTCCTGTTGTTTCATATAAAACTTAAAAAATGGATTGACCATTTTTTGTCATGAGTTTTGTTTCTGTCTGTCACTAAATCATTAATTTTGGAATAGCACTTTTAATTTATTTTGATTCTATAATACCTATTTCTTGACACTGAACAATACAATAAGTATAAAGGTCTACACATTTTGATTTTCATTTGCAGTAAAAATATAAAGACATATACAGTGATTTGTTTGGTTTGTGAGGTTGTTTACGCAAGAGTCCTGTATAGATGGGGCCCACGAGGAACGATTGGCATAGTTTCAGAGGGGACACTGAATAAACATGAAGCAGCATGGTAATATAGGAGGCTAGGAGTGGGCCTTACATAACCTCAATTGTGTAACTGCTGTGGTTTACGATTGATAGCCATATCATCTTACGCTTTACTTGTCAATCCGATATTAGCTTAGTATGTTTATTGTAAAATGTCATAACAAAAATGTATGGACTAAAAAATTGATTAATTATAATAACAGGTAAAAAGAAGGGCCAAATAAAATTGAGTAACATAAAGATAATAAAAGAAGAGATTAAATTTACAGTCATAACACGGATATTTTAATTTAAATAACTACCAACTGTAATAGTTATTAAGAAGATTATTATTTCATAACTTTAATTCTCTGAAATAGGACGATTTGAGTACTGAAATCAAGCATTAGACAGATTGAACATATAACCTTAGCAATATGAGAGTGCCCATTGAGAACATATGTATTTTACCTGGCATTCAGGGGCATTCCCATACTGCTAAGGGTATAAACTGCCCTCGTAAGCTAAAAGGCAGTAACTACAAAAATATCACATTTTGAGGTAAGTGCAAATCTTTATGTTTTGAAGGTCGAGGAATCCAAAAATGTAGGCGAAAACACCGTATCTCAAGCCGTTTTTGAGATATCAAACTAGTTATTTACCGTATCTACCAACAAATGTGCAAATACTAAGTCAAAACACCGTAACTTTGGTTTACTTGGCCAAAAAACAGTAAGCAAAAAACAGTTACGGCTTTCTGGAATAGTATTTCTGCCTTACTGTTTTTTGGCTTAGTATAGTCTCGCCCAAATCCACTTACGGTTCAAAATTTTACCATTAAAATGCATAGGAAAGCAAAACATTAAATTTTGAAGACCTTCCTATAATTTCTGTTTTACATACTCTATGCATCACATGAATATCTTGTTGTTAGGTGGTAAATGAATTTGACCAAAAAACAACTTGGAGGGAAAGTATCACAATAGGCTGTTTTCAGTGGGACTCCCTATTTTGTTGACCCGGGTCAATCGCCTGAAAAAAGTACTTGGAATTAAACTATATACATAAAACTTGGAACGAAGGTATGTCCACATGTATTCTACAGGTATGTTAAATTTGGTAACAATTAAAATATATTTACCTATTTTATTAACAAAAAACTGCCGTAAAAAGCTAATTTCATTTTGTTGACCCGGGTCAATCACCAATAAAAGGTACTTAGAATTAAACTATATATATAAAACTTGGAAAGAAGGGATATCTACATGTATTCTACACGTATGTAACATTTGCTAACGATTAAAAAATAGTTGCCTATTTTATTAACAGAAAACTGCCGTAAAAAGCTTATTTAATTTTGTTGACCCAGGTCAATCACCAATAAAAGGTACTTAGAATTAAACTATATACATGAAACTTGGGACGAATGTATATCCACATGTATTCTACACGTATGTTAAATTTGGTAACGATTAAAAAATATTTACCTATTTTATTAACAGAAAACTCCCGTAAAAAGCTTATTTCATTTTGTTGACCCAGGTCAATCACCAATAAAAGGTACTTAGAATTAAACTATATACATGAAACTTGGGACGAATGTATATCCACATGTATTCTACACGTATGTTAAATTTGGTAACGATTAAAAAATATTTACCTATTTTATTAACAAAAAACTGCTGTAAAAAGCTAATTTCATTTTGTTGACCCGGGTCAATCACCAATAAAAGGTACTTAGAATTGAACTATATATATGAAACTTGGAAAGAAGGTATATCCACATGTATTCTACACGTATGTTAAATTTGGTAACGATTAAAAAATATTTATCTATTTCATTAACTAAAAACCGGCCAAAATAGCTCATTTTATTTTGTTGACCCGGGTCAATCGCCTAAAAAAGGTACTTAGAATTAAACTATATACATGAAACTTGGAACGAAGGTATATCCACATGTATTCTACACGTATGTTAAATTTGGTAACGATTAAAAAATATTTATCTATTTTATTAACTAAAAACCAGCCAAAATAGCTCATTTTATTTTGTTGACCCGGGTCAATCGCCTAAAAAAGGTACTTAGAACTAAACTATTTACATGAAACTTGGAACGAAGGTATAACTAATAAATATTTTTTAATCGTTACCAAATTTAACATACGTGTAGAATACATGTGGACATACCTTCTTTCCAAGTTTCATGTATATAGTTTAATTCTAAGTACCTTTTATTGGCGATTGACCCGGGTCAACAAAATAAAATGAGCTATTTTGGCCGGTTTTTAGGTAATAAAATAGATAAATATTTATTTACAGTTACCAAATTTAACATACGTGTAGAATACATGTGGATATACCTTCGTTCCAAGTTTCATGTATATAGTTTAATTCTAAGTACCTTTTATTGGTGATTGACCTGGGTCAACAAAATGAAATAAGCTTTTTACGGCTGTTTTCTGTTTATAAAATACGTAAATATTTTTTAATCGTTACCAAATATTACATAACTTATGTGTAGAATAAATGTAGATATACCTTCTTTCCAAGTTTCATATAATATCTAGTTTAATTCTTACCTTTTATTGGTGATTGACCCTTTTTTACTGTTAATGTTTACTAGGCTAAAAAGCCGTATCACAACCTACCTCCTTTTGGCATGGGAAAATTTTGTTTCTTAAAAGACATTTTCCTAAGCCAAAAAAAGGTAACTTGAGATACGGCTTTTTGGCCTAATAAACGTTAACAGTAAAAAGGGTAACTGGATTAAAAAATATGAATGTATCATTATACATTAATAAAAATATATTCATAGTCTCCTACATTGAAAAAGAAGTAGTTTGAAAAAAAAAATTATTGAATTCGGTCAACCGGTTAAATTAGAAATCGAAAAAACATGACTCTGACTGGCTTTGACAAAACATCCATTTTCTCAGATTCGTCATTTATGTTGCTACGGCCTTTTTGCTTACCACGGCAGTAAAGTTGAATACAAAGATAAAGTTGACTATGCAGAAAGAATGACACTTGAAATTGAATTGAGAGACATGTAAATATATTATGAGGTAATAGTCATAATGATGCACGATTCAATAATATACTCTAACAGAAAAGCTAGATAGATATACAGGGTGGGGCAATGAAAGCACCCCAATTTATAAGCTGTACAAACTCAATAATATTCACCCTATAGATATAAATAGCACATCAAAACACAGCTTATCTTTTGCCATTTTAACTTAACAAAGTCATTTTTCCATTTCTTGAGAACAAAATCCTGCAAGTGACGTCCTTTTCCTACTTGACATTCCTTTTAAGGGACAACTCCAGCATTTCTTCAGGTTCACTTTAGTTTTTGGACGATTCTTAGCTTCAGTTCAAGCAAATCTATGGGGCGACTTTGAAAAACCTCGAACTTCAAGTAGGTTACTAGAACAACCCCCCCCCCCTCCCAAAAAAGGAGCCAACGTAAAGCTTTCAACAACAAAAGCTTCCTGGAAAATCCCTTTGGACTTTGAGTTACTGCGACTCGCACTCTTTCAACATTTGCTGGTATAAGAGTTTTGCGGCACCTACCGATTATTTTTTAGGTTTCAGCGTTTATCCTAAATAATTTTACCCAGTTTACCATTGTTTTCCAATCGGAAACAGCACCATGTTGACCAAGGATGAAATGTGGTCCAAACAATCTCAGGGTTTTTGCACAAGAATCACTTTTTTAAAAATAGGTTTCCACATAAAAATCTCAGTGTTAATAGCCTCAGGCATAATATTTACTAAAATGGCATAGTTTAATGGATGTCATAAGCACAGCTGATCATTCGATGTTGCAACATGTGACATCTAAAACAAAAAGTGGCGTTCTCATTGCCTCACCCTGTACTACGTCACAACATGGTGTGTGCGTAGTTCAAAGGAATAAAGTCAGGCAGTCGAACTTAGTACGAACCTTGGTGAAACAAATTCCTCGATAACACAAATATTTTAAAATCCTCTTGAAACTTTCAGAAAGGTCAATGCTAAAAACACCTCTATACAACGTAGTAATTTGGTTAAAAACCTCCATAAGACAAATTTGTTTGTGATATGGGCTAGGATTGATTTCCACACAACGAATATTCTTAGCACAAAACCTCTACAAGGCGAATGCGACCTTTGTAAGACGAATTTCTCATGATCTTAACTTCCATAGTACGTAGTTTTCAAGACAAACAGAAGCTTCTCTCAACATGAAATCCCCACCCATCCCTCTGCCTTCCTCAGCCATTGTTTGGCAAGTGACTGTACAGAGGAGAAACCTCTATTAGATGAGTAACGGCAGTATTTAACCTTGATAAAACAAACCTCATTATTAAGAATACCTTGATAATACAAATTTTTACCCTACCCCTTGAAATTTGTCTTATATAGGTTAGAGTGTATTAAGTGTTCAATGAAGCTCTGTTACTGACTAAGGCCAGCTGGTTCTTCATCCAGGATCATGTTATAAGCCAAGTGATCAAGGACAGCTGGGTCTTGTTTTGAACCAACAAAATCTTTAAATCACTTTTTGATGGACTCTGCTTAAGAACAGAAAAAAACACTTGCTTTTGGCAGAATAAAGGGTAGATAATGGTTAAAGATAAAGCTTGCTTAGTTTATTAGACACATAGATATTCATGGATAAACCAACAATATGCATATTAACACTGATTACCATATATACATAAGCCTGTGGCATTCATGAACAGGTACAGTATATCTCCAACCCTCGTTGGACTAAGCCTAGGGGATGAACTAAACCATGCAAGTTGAATTTTAACCAAGCTGATTATTGTCAATAAGTTATTATTGTCTAATGTATAGTGATCATTTAGAGATAAGGTTTTAAGTAATGGGTTAACTTACCACACAACTGATGCCATATTTGTGGCCAGTAAACTCGGCAACTTGCGTTCCGTCCACCAAATCCCACACCCTGACGCTGGGCAGGTGTCCGTTCTCCCCAGTCGCTAGCAAACGTCCGTCTGGAGAGAACCTTAGACATGTCACCGTCTTGCGTGATGTGTTGAGAACATGGCTTTGCCGATTTTTGGTGGGGTTGAACAGAACTACTGTACATCTGAAACAAAAAATGAATGAAAATATAGTTTTAGAAATGCAAAGATTTCATACAAGAATTATGATTTTAATATGTACAAAAAAGTGCAAACCTTCTATTAGGGTATAAAAATACAAACAGTTCCTACCGGTCTCCATATAAATACAGATTAGTTGTTAGACCCTTCCTGTGCAAGATAAAGTAGAATGAAATAGTGTGACTGTACACAGGAATAGGTAGAAGACACTTCTGATGTACTCTATTCTGAATATAAACTCCAGGCATACAGAGCCAGAGGCTTGCCTCCTCACACCTAGGGGTCTCAATCCCAGGTCTTTAATCCAATTCTCATTGTAAAAGTCCTTAAATTCACAAAAAAATAAATATAAACATAGATTTTGCAATCCCGTTAATCCCGGAATTAAAAGTCACCAATCCCGGGATTTCTAGGTATCAAAAATCGGCCGGGATCCCAAATCCCCTACTCACACCTCTCTACTGCCTCTCTCGTCTAGTAATTGAGGTTTTTAAGCGGAAAAACAGTAGGTAATTTTAAAAGAAAACCCTTAAAGCCTTGAACAGGTTTAACAACAGAGAAAAATTTTTTGTTGTTTTTACTAACAATACGGTGTTTTATCTGTTTATCCAACCTAAAACCTATTTGACCTTGCCCAGGCCAGTTTGGATTGGAAAACCAAGACTCTAGTGTAAGCATTTCATAACCTTAAAACATGAAACTAATACAATTTTTAATATCAACGACATTGCTTAAATTTGAACACCTCATTTTACATGAGTAAAAAACAATTGAAAAAGTTGTCAAAATGACTTTGGGATATTACAGCTGAAACCAAATTCAGAAAACGTTGCAAGTTGCAAGAGTTTCTTGTACACAACTGTATTACTACATCGATGACTATTTAAAGACACATTTTTTTGATATTTTTACTTATTGCGTGTTTACTTTTAATTTTAAGGGACATATGAAACGTAGAGATATACAGGTATCACCTCAACATAGATACCTTTCCTTTATTGGTTTTGCAGATATTTGGATGCTACCCAAATACAGTTCGCCATTACCCCAAACCACACTTAAGAGAGAATTTTGGTGTTCAAAGTCAGAAGCAGTCAGTAGGCGGAATTTAACCCTAGCTTTTAGAATTCTTTTATGCAATAATGGCTTCAATGAATACAATAACAATCATGATGGAAGCTTAAAAACATTGATGGAATTTTCAAATACAATTTCTTAGACTGGGTCGCTTTGGCTCTGTTTCATCAGCCAGCTACACAGAGTTACAGGGATTTTGTATCTGAGACACAGCGAGCTTAAACCAAAGCTTTTATACCATTATACTATTCACAAAATTATAAACTCCTCTATTTAAAAAAATATCATTACATAATTATATGACAAATGATAAGCTCCGTTGTTTTTTCTAAAACCTCATAATTTTGAACATACTTTTTTTTATTAAGACATGTGTGTAATTTCTTAATGATTAAAAGTTGAAAATTAAAAAAAATACACCAGTTTCCCCATAAGTTGGGGAGCTCAGGGTAGCATGGAGCCTAACAATACATATAGTCAGGACTCTTGATCACTTCAAGGTCAAACAAGTGCCTCAAGGTCAACTCAAGTATAGAGCTGGCAAACAATTGTATTTCCTGCTGCACTTGGTACTGTGTATTAACATGTAAAATATTTTAAGGTTCTACAGTTCAAAACTTAGCAAACAATGCAAAAATTATACAAATAAGTTTTATAAATGAATCCTTTCATAATAGAGTAGACATTCAATATTACCATAAATTGGGTTACATGTGAATCCTCAGTTTATTATTGTACTGATAAGCTGAGTGCTATAACCATGCTTGACAACAGAGCGAGGATTCAGAGGAGAAAATTTGGCCTTCCTTTAGATCTATTCACGACACATCCACCATTGAGTATCGTTAAATAAAATAAAATTGTACTGCTTGGTTCGATAAAAGTCTATATAAAAGTGGCACTTGTTAAAAATACTGAAACCGTTAACTGTTTGAACGAACACTCTTTGTGTTTGAAAGATACACTTACTTTTATGTGTCCCTACTTAATTGAAAACCCTACCTATATTTAAAATAAATCAACAGGTTAAAAAATCAAATTAGGTCATACATTTATGTAGCATATGATTTATTATTTTTATTTTATTTTTGTTAGGTTTCTTTTCCTGCAGCTCATGATGTAAATTTGACAGTAAAAAAAAATAATACCTTACTACCTTCTGTTAATGGTGTTAATACCATAGTACCATAATCCAGTATTAAATTACGACACAAATTCATCAACAAAACAAACACATGTGTAGCATAAATAAAACATCAATAACCAACACATACAAACAGATGGTTGGTACAAATATGGTGACTCTGATAATAAAGGTGCCACTTTACCCGATCCACAGTTCAAGGAATGAACATTTATACACTTCCCATTGATTATGTACCACATGTAACACATGTACCATTGATTTTAGAAAACAAAATTTAACCATGTACATTTCAGTTTTATATTATCATTTTGGATTAATTTAAGCAGATGTTCAGTAAAACACAACCACTAAATTTATTTCAAGTTCAAGTCAAGTTAAAATAATAGTTAATATTTTGCCAACATTGGGGCAGTCAAATGTAACCACTCATGAAACACAGGTCAAAAAGATTTCAGGTTCAACAGTAGAATACAATGTCTACACTGAAGTATAGACTCACTCATAGTTGTTACAGCATCGGAAAGAAGTGGCTTATTGTAATAGATTTGTCATTTCTTGTTTTTTAGCAATTAATTCTTACAAGCAAACTCAGAGGCAGATCCTAGGTTGTTACAGTAGCAACTAAAATCTTACTTTTTGCCTAGATACTCAGTGACTATTATTTCCTAAATACAATATAATATATTTAATTTGTATAAACCAGCTGAGGGTAATTGTGAAGTTAAGTGCATTTGACAGTTCTGCTTGTTACTTTCTAAATGTCAATGCAAATTTAAACACTGAGAGCTGTCACATTTTTGCCATGGAGGCCAGCAGTTATTTACTTTTATAAGCCTCAACTTGAAAAGCCCATAAAGTAGAGCCGTAGGTCAATATCAAAGAAGGAAAAGTTCCATGCAAATCCTCAGTACAGTATCAATATTAAATTTTGTATACAATTCAAGCCCAGTCGGTTCAGTAGTTTTTGTGTGCTGACCCAATCATTATTTTTTTTCATTTACTCAAGACAAACAGATCTATCTGTGTGTGTCTATAGACACTACACACACACACAGATACCACCTATTTCTGATAAATTATAGATTAGAGGCCTAACAGTTTTAAAGCATGAGAGTTCCATTTTCAAATGTCACCATCAAAACAAATCGTTAAAAACTAACTTGAAAAAAAACACTACTACAAAGGATGTTTCAGAAAAAAATAAATTATTATTGATAGAAGTTAGCATGATCTGATGAACAAAAACAAACAAAAGTAATTAACACTGAAGTTACAACAAGATATATCACACCTATTTTATTGTAGTCATTACATCAATACAGGAGGCAAAAAGTGAAGATAAGTTAAATAGAGAACACTTAACTATTTAAAAAATCTAAATATTTACTGGGGGTTTAAAAAAACAGCTGTAAATTTTAAAGGCAGGAATCGTTGCTGCAAACCTGTAACTCGGGGTAAAATATCAACCATAAAAATGTAATTTATTTATATTGATATAAATTAGAAATATAATTTAGATAGCCTAGCAAAATATTGTTTATGTTAAAAATATAGGATGATTTCCTACGTCTAGGTTTACAAACCATTCAAGCATAATCAACCAGAGCATGAAATTCAAAACCTTGATCATGACCCCAAACTCTAAACTTAATTTTTTGTTTTAAACAGTTATTTGAGTAAATGAATTTTGGACGTTGGTTTAGCTGAAAAACTGTTACAATATTGTATTTCATTATAATTCTATACTGTTTAGTATTTTTTCTATTAGTGACTTTTTCTTTGCAATTTTACAGAGAAAATATTTAAAATCTTACTGGTCTTAAGTGGGAAAATTTATTACTAGAGGAGAAGATTCTCATTGGGAAAACCACTGGAAGCAGGGGTGGGTACCTATAAATGGCCTCGATTGAGGTGGTTTGATTGCCAAATTTTTGTTTGCATACCATAAGAAATTTCAAAAACAAAAAACTAGATTGTTACGTTAATACAGAATTCCGTTCAACCATATCCCAAAACAAAGAACTGAACTCATAAACATATCATCATATCTTCCAAATAATCCAAAACTACTATTTTGAGTGAATAAGATAAAATTTATTTCAGCATTGTGAAATGATCACTGCCTTCAATGGCCTCTCTTGTCGATATAATTATTACTATCAACAATAACCTTGGATGGAATAAAAGTGTCAATATATGTTTGCTCAGACATAAGGAAATAACATTGGTATGCTTGTTTATGAATTGAATCATTCAACTAAACTGTTGGTAATTTGACTCATTATTTTAAATAATATAATCATTAATAGCAAGCATTATTGATAATTAACCTTTAGATAAACAAATGTTTAAAGTTTGCAAATTACGAAACATGTGTTTACACCTTGGGCCTTAGACACCTATCTCTGGTATTTTTCCTTGATAGATACATCATCACTATTTTAGTAATGAGTCGAGATCAGGGTCCTATATTTTCACACAACCAAGAAAATTAGGTATTTTAAGAGGTTTGAGTGTAAAAGTTAGAAGCTCCAAAATCCCCAAAAATAGCTAAATAATATTAGGGAAAAAACATTGTTTTGCTTATTAATGTAGCAGTCCTCACGATTCTTGTAGGATCGTTTTATTTTCATTATATTTAGCGCTTACTAATTATACATTTTAATAGATGCCATTATGTAGCTAATGAATATTTTGAAGTAATTTGCATCCCCTGCATTTCCTTGACCAGCCATTAAAAGTAGTAATATGCAAATCAACCTAAGCTTATATTTAAAATTAACAGCCAAATTATTCTGAGTTGTGGAGTTAAAGAAATGCAAGATCAAAGGGATTGGTCAAGATGATCTTAAACTTAGTTTTTTTATCCCCAAATAAATTGTCTAAAGTTTTCATCTACTAAAATATCAGTTTTAAAATATTCAACCAGTTCCAACATTTACAAACATTTTAGTTTAGTTTAAGCTATGTTCATGCAATTAAGTTTTACCATAACGAAAGTTGTGGGGAGGGGCGAGCTGGTTTATTGGCAGAGCTCGGGTCTTCGGTCCTATAGGTCCCAGGATCAAATCCCGCCAATAACCATTGGCTTTTAACTAAGTAAAAATGCTGCAACCCCCTAAGCCTAACCTGAGGTAAGATGTGCACATGTTGAATGTTTTGAGAATTGCCTAAAAGTGTGTATCTACAGGATAAAGTGTACTCACCCTGCAGGATATGCGATAGTGTCAGAAGATGGATCACAGTCTAATCCGGAGTTTGTGCACACTGTGAGACCGAGGACACGTTCTAGCTTCACCTAAAAACAACATTAGACTTAGTCCTGGGCGACATCCAACATGTGAAGCAGAACATTTATGTTGTTACCAATACCAGATAAGGATGGGGGTGGTAACTGGGTGTACTTTGACCAAATATAAATAAGGGGGATTGTACAATGACTAGAACATAGTTTACGCCACACTACACTATTTTGACAAACTTCCCATGCAAGGATTTAGTCCAGAAAACAGCTGTTTGCCGCCAGCTTAATCAAATGGGGTTTCATTGCGTACTCCTATGCTGTAATGAGTTTTACCGGACACCAATCAGCAGATTATACTGTATTTGGGTGACAATGAGTGGTTATAACAAGAATATAATCTCTCTTAGAGGTTATGACTAGTGATTTTTAGTCCTTTAGTCGGTGGTAATATATAAAGATTTGTACAGATTTAGTAGTATGGCGTAAACTATCGTGCGTCACTCGTCCAAAATGTGTTTACCGGACTCGTATGGTAATCCCGTACTCGACTTCGTCTCGCACGGGAACGACCACTTCGTCCGGTAAACACTTATTTTCAGGACTAGTAACGTAATATGCTATTAAATGTCTCATTGTAAAAATAGGTACTGCCTAATGCATAAGGTTATCGTAGGGTCCTTGAACTGGTTTTGCGACCCAGTGTTGTGAAAAAGGCTCTTTAGATTGTAAATTGTCCTGGATTCCTAAAAATCATTGAAAGAAGATCCTTTAACCATCAGTTGTAACGTTTGAAGAAAGTTAGTACAGTAATAATAACAATTTGAAAATACAATGTTAATTCAGTGAGAAGAAAACACAATGTCTATTGTTATAGTAATGTGAGGCAAAATAAAATTCTATTTTATGTTTTTAATTTGTTTCTTGTGAAAGTTCTTTGATCTTATTTTTTCCCACTCTACCATAACCACGGGATATGTCTTTCCCAGTTTGGCTCAGCCAAATTATGTCAATTCTACATATGCATGACTGTTTGTTTTATTTTTAAACATTGGGTATTGCATAACAGTTAGTTAGACTTTAAAAGTCTAACCACAAACTATATGATTTTGGAAAGATACAGGTTGAATATACAAATAAATTCTCAACTCCACAAAAAACTCTTATCTGTCCCTTGGGTTATAAGTGGGACTTGTTTATGTTCTGTGGGAGGACCTGAGCTGCTCTCCTTGATCCAAATTTTCTTTCACAAATATGGGGCCTGATTTTGCGGACAAATTTTTTGAATATTGTGTAATGAGCAACATTTGGTAGGATGTTAAATGATTGGACATATATAATAGAACACTATATCTCATGATAGAGTAGCTTCTAGATGGTAAAATTAAGTGAGGGTTTATAGCATAGAATAAACACATTTATTCTATGTTTATGGTATATGTGCTAATTTAAAAATATCCTTTGTAGTTGGTGCGACTACAACTGTTTTTGATTTTTGGACCTGATGAAATACTTATATTGAGACCGATAAAGCTGTAGTCAGTTAGCTACACAGGATCGTTCGACAGTAGCACAGGTACAATAAAATTCTATTGTATTTTTACCATTTAATAATATATGTGTTTATATTAAAATTGTATATGATAAAACTATACCGTACAAATTATGACTGATACCAAAACATTATACAGTGTGTAAATTAAGTATGGAAACAGATCTGTATTTATTAAATCGAAATTGATAGATATATTCTGTTGTGGCATTGATGGTTAAGAAAGGTTCCGCAATCTGTTTCATCAAAAATATTTTTTTACCCCTATAAGGGTAACTTATTTTTTTCAAATAGCAACCCCTGTGAGTTTTGTCAGGAGAAATACAATGACGCAAACCCGAGGTAGATATCTCACCCCTAGCCAAAATGGCAGGTATTCCAAAATGTGATTTAAATGTGAAAAAGCACCAATTTCACAAATGTAATCAACTCTGTATTTTTTTGGCAGAAATGGATAGAAATATTTTGTTTGTGGCATTGATTGTTAACAAAGGTTTTCGGGATTTTTTACATCAAAAATATTTTTAACCACCCTAACAGTGTAGGGGGTAGGGGGTGACTTATTTTTCAAAATAGCGACCCCTATTGAGTGACCGCTCATTTTGATGCAATTTTAAAAAGAAATACAATGATGCAAACTCGATGTAGATATCTCACCCCTAGCCAAAATGGCAGGTATTCAAAATTTTGAATGGGTGGAATGGGTGCTTTTTCACATAAATTAAATTTTGGAATATGATGGCAAATATGATTTAGATATCTACCTCGGGTTTGGTCATTGTATTTCTCTTGACTAACCCTTCAAAATGAGGGGTCACTCAATAGGGGTTGCTATTTGAAAAAAATAAGTTACCCCCTACCACCGGTTAGGGGGGGGGGGGGTTAAAAAATATTTTTGATTTAAAAGATTGCGGAACCTTTGTTAACAATTAATTCCACTAACAGAATATTTCTGTATATTTCGGTTCAATAAATGCAGATTTGTTTCCATTATAAAACGGGTTTTAATATACGAAAATCTATGATTTATATACCTATCAAAAACTTGATAGTTATTACTTCAATAAGATAGTCAATTCCAATAAGTTTCACCTTTCGACCTCTAGGTCAGCTGTACCCTGTGCTTCCATTAAATCTAAACAGATTTGGTTATAAAAGTAATCGATACGATACGAGTCACTGTCAACATATTCGTATATATTGGGAAGTGGGATCCAGCAAAACAACAAACGTGGGTGATTCTGCTGGCTTGCCGAGCCGATGACGTCACAGTCCCGGCAAAAATACTGCCTTCAGCTTGTTGATTGCCAGCACGCGTACGTCCACTGTCCCTGATAAACATGCACCGCGCCGTGGCCTATCATGTCCGTCGTACTGTTACGGTATATCCGTATATGTCACAGAGCCCAGCCCATGACAATGAAATCTAATTACCAATAAGAGTGCTGCCATTTCCGCATTGTCAAATAAAAAATATACAAAAAAAAAAAAAAAAAAAAACTGCGGCTGTTTGATTGCGGATCTTTAATACTCTACACGAAATTTTCAGACTCAAATATATTGGATTTAATTTAACGCATTTAGCTTAGGACTATACATTAATAAAATAGCTCTTAATTTTCCGTCAATATTTTAATATTGCCAAGACATAACTCTTTTCGTAGACATGACTTATTAAAGCAATTCCATATACAATGGTATTAACTATTTTGAAACAGCTTACTAGAAGAAAAATTATATATACTAAAAATCTTTCTTATTACTAAAAATCACTACTCATGACTTCTAAGAGAGGTTATGTTTTCGTTCATAACCTCTCATTGCCACTCACAGTGATGCAACGAAACATTGTACCAAACACTAATTGCACCACTCAACTATTAAAATGGCCTGGACAGCTGATTAGTTGAAGTTCGAATCATAACAATTTTACTTCTTCTCCCTTAATCCTTGAACCTCATTGGTCCGTCACCCGTGTTGAGTAAAACTATGCTGTTATGAAAGTAAACAATGTTATGAGAAACTTTTCAATTCTAAGAACTGAACTGAAACGAAACGGCTACTTGAAAAAACAGTCGTAGGTAAACACTTAATACTGTATTTTACAGTATGGCTCACGATACATTTATCTTGTCAAGGTTCAAAATTTTGTTGGAACTCTTTGCTATATTTAATTTAAAAAGTATGCTTTCGTCGTGAATAAAGCAATGCTAAATTCAAAACTCACAACGATATAAAATTATATTACCTGAATATTAAAACGAGGAATAGTTGATATCAAACAATATAAACTCGCATATAATGGTCAGCTTATTAACAAAATATGGTAATCCATTTAGTTGAAATTGTCCAATTTACTACTATCTCTCTATGTCACAAAATACAACTGATATTTTGGCACGATTGGAGTAGTTTTTCGTCAAACTTACCTGTGTTTTGTGTTATACTTGTATGTTTATTTATGGTTTTCGAAAATTATGTGATTTAACTTGGTGAACTTAATGTAATAATGGGCCGTGCCTTCTAATAAAAGCAATTTAGGAATAGTCGGACTATATTTCCGAAAAATTGGTTTATCATTGGTACAAAACCAAAACACGCAGAATATGAAATGTAACATTTTTACATTTCATTGGGTGAATTGTTTACACACAAGCTTAGAATAAAATACAAACTGTACAGACCTAGGTGTATATCTAGCAAAGAAAAAACATGAACGCACAATATGATTTTTAACCAAGACACAGTGTGCTACAGAATTATACCGGTTTTACGAACGCGTTAAACTTAGTTTGTTATGAAAGGTTATTAGGCACACACATGTATAAGGCGTAGGAAGCACTCTGGCATTTCGAGGGTCGCCAAAAGGTTTTGATTTATCACTTAGAGAAATAAGGTTCGCAAGAATCAGACCAGGTTCCACTCCACCCACGGACCGCCTAAAGAGTTGAAGCGGACACTCCTATGCATTAGGAGCGTTTGGAGGAATCGGCTAGCTATCCCACGAGTTATCATTTGGACGTTTTTTTTTTTATCATTTAGGGTTTTATAAAGATGCCTGATAAGGGCGCGAGGGATCTTTCAATCAGATTTCACCATTAATTGATACCCTATGAGAAATTTGTATCTAGGTTCACGACCCGTTTCATTCTGGATTGAACCGGAAACCTCCAGATTTGAAGGCGAGTGATAGGCTATAGCTATTTCAGAGTTGTATTGTGCGTTTACCAACTCCTCTGACATTATTTCGTGTTTTCTTTGGAACTGTCTTCTAGTTATTTAAATCAACCGTTCGGATAGTACTATTATTAGATATCCCGATGACGAATAGTATATGGGTTTTGAATCGAACGAATTCGGGATCGAATCAGCAACATTTAGATTTGAAGGCGAATACTACAGTATAACTAGATATTTCACGAGTTTTTATTTCTGTGTTTTCCAACGTCTTTGGAATTTCTACGTTATTTTAGTAATTGAACCGTCTTGTTAAATACTGATGTAG